GGGTGCTATATAAGTACAAGTTATTGTTGTTGATGATTGCTATTTCAGTAACGCTATTTTCTACCTAAGAAAATCAAAATTTGAAATTATTTGTCACTACAGTTATTACACTTCGTAGAAAAATCCTATGAAGTGCTGTGTGACGTCTCAATTACATGATAAGGCACTATATCACTATATCAAAATTATCATTATGTTGAAACAAATACTTCATGGACAGTAAGAGATAGCACAAAAGTGGAAACAAGCCAGAAGCAGAATCTTGCCTGAAGTCAGGCAAAAAAAACAAATGCATTCAATATAACCTCTCGTCAATCTGAGAAAAATCCCTGAGTCCTTTCCCACGGAAACCAAACTCCAGAAGTGAAGAACAAACAAAAAAAATATTCTCATCTCAGACCTTACATTGTGTTAAGATTAAGTACCAAATCTTTGAAAGCCTTATTAAAAAAAAGTAAAATTATTGAATCATAGAAATTCACAGCACCAAAGGAGGCTATTTGGCCCATCGTGTATCACTGACTCTCTGAAGGAGTTGTCCATTTAGATGTATTCTCCTACCTTTTCCTTATCCCCTTTTACAATTTCTCCTTTTGCATTTGTTTACCTATTTCCCTCTAATCCAATATGGATTCTGACTCTAACATGGTTCCAGGTAAGGCATTGCACAACTAACAACCCTTTCCTATCTGCTCCCTTGGTAATCACTTTCACGTAATGCCCTCTGGTTACTGAATAAGCAACCAATGTAAACAATTTCTCTGTACTGACTTTATCAAAAGCCCTCACCATTTTAAAAACTTTATCAGGTTCCGTCTTAACCTTTCCTGTTCTGGGGAAAACATCCCAAGTTTCTCCAATATTTCCTCATAAACAAAACCCCTCAGCACTAGGATCATCTTAATGAATCTCCTCAATGGCCTTGACATCCATACCATGATGAGGTGCCAATTCTGAACACTATACTCTGGCCTAATGTTTCATTCAGGTTGAGCATTACCTTTTCGCTTTTATATTCTAGACACCTATTCATAAAACCTAGGATTTCCATTTTTTTTAAAAATCGCTTTATCATCTTATCCTCCCACCTTCAGCAATTCAGCAAAATGAAATAAAAAATAAACAGAATGCTGACGCACAGCAAAAAAATGCATGGTGATGTAACTTATCATAGCCACAGATTTGAATGATATAGCTTTATCTGAAGTGTGTACCTTAATCACATAAAAGCATATAAACACTGATGTACAGAGAAACAAGCTCCCACAAAACTAAGAAAATCAAACTGAAATACAAGAATACGTAGGCAATGATGCATACACAGATGCATGACAGAGCAGGAACATAAAACATAATTAAATGTGTCTGTATTGCCTTGTTTAAGACCAGGATACTCAAAGCAGGATACTGATGATTAATCACTTGCAGTTGCACAATTTTCAGTCGTTCACTTAACCCTTCCTCAATCCTTCTGCCTCACATCCTCTTTTATCTTTAAATCCCTCAAGACTTACTTCTTCAACTCGCCTATGGTCACCTCCCCCTCCTCTTTCCCCCACTCAGTGTCCTCTATGCAGTGCTCCGGGACACTTTCCTGTGTGAAGGGTTCTAGATAAATGCAAGTTGTTGTTGGTAACAATAAATAGCCTCAAAACCCCCTGAGGTTTCTAGAATGTCACAATGTAAACTCCCAGCATAGATAATTAATCTCTAGTAAACACTGGAAACTTTACAAGAAGCTTTACTTGAACCGTGTGTAATACAATGTATGCATGTGACACAACTGTTTGAAATACAATGTTCCACATCTAGATCCTGCTATCCTATCTCCTATTCCATTGGGATGTAGCCAAGCCCAATGCCACCTCAACCATAATCATATTCACTTACACACAATATTATATATATGTATATATATATTGTAAAATGTACCTCCAGCATAGGATCACTGGATCATAAGATCACAAGATTGACCTGGATAAGATTGGGATGGTTTTGACTTTGGTCCACCCAATCTTATCCTTTCAGAACACCCACCCTACCACTCTTCCCCACCCCCTCACTGCATGAAGCTGCTTTTTTAACAAGACTATTGTCTTGGGCCTCTCCTCACTTCCTGGCAATCTGTTCCTGGCAGAGAAAACCTTCCTGATATTTGTCATCAAATTGCTGTTTAAAATTCTAAACCTATGTCCTCTTGTTCTACTGCCATGATATATCCTAATGTATTGAACTGGTTTTAAAATGTTGTAAGTCACTATGAAGTCCCCTCTGAGTCATCTTCTCTCAAGACTGAAGAGCCCTAGTTTCTCTATTTGATGCTCATGGTTCACTCTTCTAACTTTGGAGATAATCTTTGTTGCACTGCCACTGCCTGGACGGCCCCCTTATGTTGCAGTGACCAGAACTGCAACAGGTTTTCAGGGTCTGAACAAAGCACTGAACAGCCTGAGAATGATGTCTGGGAATCTAAACCCAACTGATTTAGAATCAAGCCCAGCATTATGTTTGCCTTATTTACTGCTGCCTCGCATGTTTTGACAGAGTCAACTAACACGCCTATCTCTTTTAGCTTCTCCCTTGTCAAGACCATGCATGGAGTAATTGTGTTTCCTATTCTTGGATATGTATCAAGCTCTCCTTGTAGAACCTTTGCTGCCTCCTTTGATTCCATAGTTCTCCGCACAGGATTGCTGTGAGGAGGTTTATTCCATATTGCCAACCTGGCTCTAGGATGGGTTAACTCAGCACAAAACACAGATTTTCTCAGACTTTACGGCCCATGCTGATCCACCACTGCTGTTCCTATTGTAAAAGCAGAATATAATTCTTTATTTTTCAGTTCTTCATTAAATGTTTCTATGCAATTTCCTTTTGTTTTTGTTCCCTACATAACAAAATATTTTGATAATTCTGCTTCAGACTTGTGCTTCCAACCACATGATCGTTTACCCGGTCCAGGCAGGCAGGCAGATTACATTACTACGTTACTATGTTCTGTCTGTACAACAGAAAATAAAGAAAAAAATAAATCCGTTTGAGATAAACTTAGAATAATGCAGTTCAGAGCATGGTTTCTGCCTCCTTCTGTTCATCCCTAAACTGTTAAAATAAGTTGGCATGCCCTAAGGAAGGTGAAACTGACCTAGTATTCAAGTGGATCTTGACACTGTGATCCATACTCCCTGAGGACAAAAACCCAGTGACAAAGCAATAACAGAAAATTGTGGTGTGTCCATTCCCTGCATCAGAAATGCCGAGAGATTGATTTAGACTGCATTATGCAATCCAATTGCGATTCAAAGTGCTAATTACAACTTTCTTGTAGCCATCTAAAATGCGATATATGTGAAATGGCAAATTATGCTCTCTGAAAGCTACCAAAATGTGAAAAAGGCCTGGGGGCAAAACAGATGGTCGAGGAAATGAGTTTTTGGAAGCATTAGCTGAGAGTTCTGAAAGTCACTAACATGTGAGTAAAGCTGGAGACTGAAATGCCATTTCCTCACAATCCAGCTTTCGGAAAATTACTGACCCTAATTTGACCACATAGGCTGACCGAGGAGGCTCAAATTAGCACTTCTCTGAATGGGCTTTCCTGAAGCTATCCTACATGGCTCCCAGCAGTGCCTCCTCAATGGATTGACCTTGCCATTGATCACTCCAAATCATGTAGCCTCTATGGAATCTCGTCATTTTGCTCAACCCTCAATTCTCCTTCAAACCTCTGTCCAAGTTTGTTCCCTCCATCACAGCAATATCATCCACCTCCATTACTACATCCAGCTCTCTCTCTCTCCCTGTCCTCATGCCTGGGCTCCATTTCATCAGCTAATTCACACTATAAATTGAAGTATTTAACCAAATTGATCTATTTCACTCGCCAAGCATTTTCTTGTGGAATTGGGAGGGAAATGATCAAGGTACTAATTTTACTGGAGAGAGGTGTTTTAATCGATATCAAGAGACATGAATCCCTTTCACTTACCTAACTTTTTGTAGGTAGTGATTTTTATTTTGAACTCTGCTGTTGCTCATAGATTAAGATTAGAAGTACGAGGCTGTATCTTGAAGGGTATAATGGACAAATTATAATTAATGCATGAGGACACAGATATTTTAATGATTTTTTTTCTACCCTAAAGGGAGCAGGGACCCATCTGCCATTTAAGGAGATTAGACTTTTTTTTACTTTTTAACTTCAATAATGTTCTCATTGATCACTTTGGTGATCACTAGAGACCTTAACCCCAGATACTTTCAGCACTCTGGGCTCGCTTCCATCCGTACCTCTCAACTAAAGCAGCCCAAACCCTCGTGCACACCTTCATCACTTCCCGGCTGGATAATTCCAATGCCCACCTCACTGGTTTCCCCAGTTCCACCATACACAAAATTCAACTAATTCAATCTTCTGCCGCCCAGATACTCACCCGCACAAAACTCCGTATCCCCATCACACCAGTCTTTGCCAGGCTCCACTGGCTCTCATTTACAGAACGGATCGATTTCAAGATCCTCTCACTCCTATTCAAATCCCTTCATGTCCTCACACCGCCCTACCTATCCAATTTGCTTACCGCCCATTTCACAGGAGGCCTCCGGCCTCCTGTTATTCATTTTATATTTGGGAGGCAGTGTGGGTGGGTCTAATACATGGGAATTTTAAATGTTAAATCAACTGATGGCAAACCTCTCTAACACATTCTACTTTTGAAGCTGGGTTCACGGGTCAGCATGACATGTGTTAGGTAAATGGTTTTCCACTTGATTTTTTTAAATACACAACCCTCTTTGAAACCGCCACAATAGACTGCAATATAAAATGTTAACAGGCAGAAATGTAAGAACATTAGTATTTGTAGCTTTATAACACCGCGTGTCAAGTCAACACCTATATTTGCAAAATAACAGTTGTAAAATATGCTAAACAATTTCGGGTTTTCAAAACATTTCAACAGCTGTTAAGTGATGGCTAAGAATATGTTAACAAAACTTACCAGACTGTTGAACCCCAGTGTTCTTAAAGCTTGCTTTAGAGTAGCAAATGTCTCTCTGTTTTTAGCAGTCACTGTGGTTGGCACATCCTCTGCCATATTCTGGTTCATGTACCTATGCAATCAGTTATCACAAAACAAAGATTGAACTATATATGTGCCAGATCTGTAAAATTAAACTTTCTACTGATGTGCTGTAAACCAATACTTCACTGCTCATTGTAATTCAACACACAAAACTGTAGATTCATTTCAGGAAGAATACCTCCCCCAACTGGTCATTTCAATTTCAACAACTGTCTGAAATGCAATGAAAATGAAATACAAAACGTTCTTATAACTTGTCTGATTCTTGTGTTTCTAAACTGAGGTGTACTTGGCAAATGAATAAAAATGACCCTTCCACAGTTTTTTTATTCAGTTTTTTTCCTCCAATTATCTCCTCTCTCCTCCTGAAAATATTTGACTCCTTTTTCTTTTACTACCAAATTACGACTGGTGGGACCTCACCCAAATGGCCATTATTGAAATATGAGCTTTGAGTGATTGTTGACACCTTGTATGCCCATGAAGTGGGATGAGGGGGAAAGAAGATGGACAAAGGGGATGTTCTTCAGGCAAGTCTGATCCTGTGCTTAAACCAAAATCATCCATGTGCATCTGCAGCAGAAATTATTGGATCATAATTAGGAGCAGGGACCCTGGCTATTTTTTTCCCTAACACAGGTCACTGAGGCAAACTACATAACCTCTGCTTTGCCTCAGGTGCTGTTCAACTAATTCAGAACTGGTAAGGTTTTGAACCCAAGAGATCACTCCTGAAAACGTTCGCAGTGTTATGACTATCTTCCCTGGGGGAGGTAACTGGAGTCTCTATGGGGTCAAGTTAGTATAAATCTTATACATTGGCAAACGGAGCATAGAAATGAGCCAACTCTCTATGGTGGGCAATCATATGATACATGAGTCCACAGTACTCCAGGGCACCACTAATGATAGGACCTGCTTGGCTGGTTCATTAATGGGACTTATAGAGGTAGACATACCATTGGGGGATAGTTGTTTTCCTACTTGGCTCCTGATAACCTTACAATGCACCAATCTAGTGGGAAAGGAATTCCCAGCTGGGCAAGCAGCAGGAAGCTTACCAGAATCTTTCCCTGATAAGATACACAGGTTGACTAGTTAAATCCAAGCAATAATCCATGAACTTTGGGGTCCCTAATACTTTGGCTTCTGCACCTGTGTTCTATATGGTATAGGCAAGAGAATGTGTCCTCCTCCAGGGGAGAGATTACATGCAACAGAACTGACAATTAGAAACTCTGCTCTTAAGTGTTCTACGTAAATGGAAACTGACGGGAAAAAAAAATCAAATATGGGACCTTCCATGTGGCTCAACAACTCATTAAATATAATTATTGAGTGAACTTCACTCCCCCTTTGTGAATGCCAACCCACAGCAAGGTATGCTTTCCACAGTAACAGTTCACTGACATATACAGATGATGCTGGTGGTCACAAGCTAACAGGAAATTATGCTTTCCTTTTAAAAGTTAGAATTGAATGCAATTACTGAATTTTATGCATAAAGCACCTGTGAAACCAGTCCATTGGGAAAGAACACTCCAGGGCACATACCTGTGTGCTGAAAGGTGGTTGAGGTACAAAGCACACTTCTCTTCACTTGACAAGCCATCCATCATCAAGTAGAAAATATTAAAATTGCTCTGGTTGGGTAATCGAGAAACAAGACGTGACTTCTCCAAACAGTAAGCATAAAATCTGGCTGGAAATAAAATAATGTGTTCATTTCTTTGAAGCCTGTGATACATCTTTCTGCAAATTTTATTAATTATGAATTCCCAATATTCAGCGACAATAACACAAGCAGCTCTGTAACGGTACATCATTCCTTCACTTACACAGTTTTACATTTTTAATGAGGCATGCAGAAAGATCATCTAGTAATGATTTTCCTTAAAAGCTGCACAATATAAATAGGATTTACTATGCAAGTTCACCTTGTGAATTGGATAAAGCAGCTTGAACTGTTTTAAATACATGAGAAATAGATAGGAAAGAATCCTGTTTTAGTGAGGTAACTATTTTTACTCATAGAACATTGTGCTTTGGGAACATTATTATAAGATATTTATATTCATGGGCATTAAGGCAATTGTAACACCTGCTTGTTCCTCATCACAATATTCACACACACAGACTTTCAACAGTAAGAGTCAATTTAAACTAAGTCCTCTGATATGGACTCAATGTAATCGTATTATAGAAGTATTCAGTTTGAATAACAAGTGATAAGGATTAAATGAACAGCTTTGAAGGCAAACTCGTGTGTGATATTTCTTCGGCAATATGATGATGAGATCTGAATTGAATTGAAATCACCGAATTAACTGAACTTGTAATTTTCAGTTAGATTTTCATGATTTGACATGATTTTGTGCTTTCCCAGAATATACTGTGAAGTGGATTGACTGTATAGTTGGTGGGTGAAATGCAGCAGCCAATTGCGCACAGCAGTGTTTCCCAACCAGTCGTGGATTTATTATTATTTTGTTTTTTGGAAGAAATGATGACCCCCGGAAAAGCATTCCACCAATCAGCTAACCGGGTTCCTACTTCAAGTTTGATAAATAGAGGCATGTCGAATAAGGAAACTTGCCCAACATTTCGTCCTGCTGGGAATTGAACCCAGCTCTTAGTCAATTGGATCACTTTTCTGGGAGTAATATCCCTTAAAAAAATAATTTTTTCACTCAATTTGGTCACTCAATCCACGTTTGTGGGACACTGATGTGCGTAATTGGCTGCCGCATTTCGACCACAAAATATAGTCAATTCACTTTAGAGTATATTCTGTAAAGCGCTCTGAGAAGTCTCAAAGACATGATAAGGCAATATATCAAGTGCAAGGATTATTGTTTATATTGTATTGTTTCTTTTTGAATGCGCAAATTCCATTCTTATGATCTCAGCCTCAAAAGGACTGACATTCTCAAAATCTGTCCCCAATGTTATTGTCAGGGAATTGTCTGAAATTCTTTGGTGACATGAGTCACACAATCACAAAGCCAAACTTGAATTGTCATTAGTTGTTGCATGAATCTCTTGAATGCCTGGTTGCATGGATGTACAAACCCATTATATACCCCTCAAGGATAAAACAAGAAGTGATCTGTGACCTTCAAATCTAGTCAAATCTGATACAAACAACGTCTTACTTTCCTCTCCTCTCGACATATATGGGACTATACCACCAGGATAACGGGTCCCTTATATCAGTGTTTCAGTCATGGACCATCAAGGATTTGCTGGAGTAAAACTACAAGATGGTTCTACAAATTGATAGCCTCTCTAACTCACTCCACTAACCAATGGGCATCACTGCTGCTGGGGGCTTTAGCACGGATTTGCAGAAATAATTTTTGGAAGGAACGGAAAGATCTGAGACTCATTAAATCTCTCCTCTTGTGGTATATTGATATATTTAGCCCCATGTCAGGATCATATATTGTGCTGAGATTAATCAAATCCAGGTATTCTGGCACACATGAGCAATATAACTCCTAACCGGAAAATCCACTTCTCCAGTTCTTGTCCTGGGAATTGTTACTGTGCCAGTGTTATAACATGAATAAACAACAATGAAGTTCTATTTAAATCCCAATGCCAAAGAAATCTGAATGACTACCATTATTTAGTTCAAAATTCAACTAGCTAATTGAGGAACATCGCAGTTCCAGTGTTTTTCTTAAATTATTTTGTTGTCTGCTTTATGCTGATCACAAACAAAACAAAATTGTATTTGTAGTGCTTGGTGCACAACAGACCAGATTGACTAACTACTTTAATTGATAGACTTACCTCCGCTTAAACTCCTCCTCTTTTCACTGAACTGCAATCCAAGATATTTTATGTATCGACTGGAACCTTCATTCAATGTTGTTTTTGCATGTCCAAAAGCATTCAGCACGCAACTTACCTAGAACCAGTAAAGAGAAGTTGAAATAGTAATGTGCCAAAATGAATACACCAATAGGTTAATCTGCTCCAACGTAATATATTAGTAATCTTTGAATTTATCAGATCGTTGAGATGCCTCAACGCGCTTCACAGAATATAGTGTGAAGTGGATTCACTGTGTATTTTGTGGGCGAACCCAGCAACCAATTGCGCACAGCAGTGTCCCACAAACAGTTGTGGTTTGAGTGACCAAATTATTATTAATCCTTTTTTTATTATTATTTTGGGGTGAGGGATTATTACCCATGTAAAGTGATCTGCCAATCAACTAATAACCAGGGGTTCCTACATACTGCTAGGTAAACAGAGGTATGTGTTTGGGTGTAAGGAATCTTGCCTAGGGTTTCGCCCTGTCCGCCTTGGAATAGAATTGAACCCGCGTCCACTCGCTTGTGAGGCGGGTGCATTAACCACTATGCTACGGAACTCAATGTGTTCTTTTCCACAGTGCATCGTTCTCATGCCGGCCCACGATGGAGAGAGCAATAAGGAAGGTGTAGTAGATTGACATGATGGTGGCCCAAATCACAATATAGTTATAATATTCATTGCTGTGGATTAAGTGTTATTCTGCTCTATTTATAATAATAATAATCCTTGCATTTGATATAGTGCTTTTCATGTCGGGAGGACGTCCCAAAGCGCTTCACAGAACACACTGTAAAGTGAATTGACTGTATATTTGTGGGCGAACACGGCAGCCAATTTTGCACAGCAATGTCCCACAAATAGTCGTAGATTGAAAATGACCAATTTATTATTGTTTTGGGTTTTGGAGGGATTATTATTTGGTACTACTATTTGGTAGGTTTTCCAAATGTGTTCCTGTGCACTTGTAACTTCTTGTAATGTAATTTTAAATGTCAACAATTTATTTATACATTTATGATATAAATGATTAAACATAGATTAGATAACTTTCTTTTAGGAAATAACATTATGGGTATAATACATAGGTAACTTGGGACATAGGTTAATGCGACCGCCAGAAAGGTGAAAGGCAAACTAAATGGACCCTGGTCTTTTTTCCTCTAGCATTTCTTATGTTCTTATGATGCTATCTTATTTATCTGCTAAATTTACTTTATAGTTACATTCTAAGCACATAGCGACAACATTCAGGTAATGTACTGAATGAAGCACTTTAGTACTTAGTGCAACTTACCCTGAAATTGCATGAGCACAGAGCAGAATAACCCCTAAATCTCAAATATCATTTTATTTATTCCCACATTATGTGCATCAATATTCCCATGGTTTTCAGAGATTATCACAAATTTGCGAAACATTGTATTTGGGTAGAGGCCAGAAAATCACACACTTGTGCAAAGAGCAAATGCACTGTTTTCATGACTCAGTCCAAAAACAAAATAGCCTCTATGATCACCTGCAACTAGTTTGCACATTGAACTTGCGAAACACATGTAATACCTTAAACACCAGCAGATGGTGCAATATAGTTATAATTGAGAAATAGCATCTCCTGACCTGGGTCAATAGAAAAGTGTGGAAATATTTGCCCCAAATTGTGGGGAGATTTGCGAATTCTGCGTAGAATTGCGGGGGGGCGGGGTTTGCCACATTTTGCAGAAAATTGCAGGGAGTTGATTAGTGCTGTTGAGGTGCCATTTTACTGCCAACCTACATTTTTTTCATTTTATTGAGAAAAACTAAACACAAGGAAATAACATATAACAGATTATTGCAAAAAAAAGTATTATTTCTTTCGCATAAACTATGTGTCCTTTTTTTATGCGGTGGGGACACACCAGCGAGGGTACAGGAGCTTACCGCCTCCTGTCTCTCATGGCCGGTACCGCACACAGACACAAAGACCCAGAGAGAGACACACACACACTCACAGATACACAGAGAGAACTCCACACAAATACTTGCATTGAATTACATACATGCATTCAGTCCAACTGTTCAACAGCACTAGCTACACAGAATCTCAAGAACGTTCCTTAATTTCCCGTAGGTTTATCTTGGCACCTACGTGATTAATCTTTGCCTCAAGCGTGCATTCAGCTGTCACCGCTCTGCACACCAGGTGTTTCACAATGTGTTTACAGTGTTCACAGTGTCTCCTCCACATGAGCCTAATACTCTGAAGTAGCTATAGTGTTCACAATAGGATCTTACCCTTTGCCATCACTTCATTCTAATGCTAATGTTTCATTCTGTACTTATAAATGTGAAACTAAGAATCCTCAAGTATTTTCAAAGTGTTAAGTCGTAGTTTAACACACCAGTACCCATATACACATAGACAGGTTGTACCATTGTACTAGAGAAGAAACTTTCTGAAACTTCAAGATAATTCCAGACTTTCAATATCACTGTAGCTTTCTTTCCCAGATCAAAATGTCAAAGAATGCATAAATTTAACCAACTTTCAGCACACATGCAATATCTCTGAGCTGCCAGAGTTGTGAATATACTGCTTACTTTGTTGCGCAGAGTTGGCTTAATTTCACCTCTCCCACTTCCCGTGGCCTCTAACACAATGTTTGAGCCTGAGAATTTCTGCTCTCCGACACTGTACCTGATCATGGAGATCAGTTTAAAATTCATTTCAGTCAGTATCCTGCATGACAGTACTCATGCTCTGCCTCCAGGATTTCAAACAAAACTCACTTCAGCGTTTGTTCCCAATTTCCAAGAACGTTTCAATATGTTTTTCGAAGTAAACAATGGATCCATTGCAGAGAAGTCAGGGAGCATTTAGTTCAGTTGCCATTCTTAAGTGCTTTTTCATAATCCACTTGATGTGATAATTATTGCATTAAATCTGTTCTAAATGCTAAATTTAGCCACACACAAATTGCCATGACATTGTAGTGAGATACTTTAGTTTATTTCAAAACTGTGCTGTCACAGCATTATCTACACAGAATCTCAAGAACATTCCTTAATTTCCTATCAGTTTATCTTGGCACTTACGTGATTAATCTTTGCCTCAAGCGTGCATTCAGCTGTCACCGCTCTGCACACCAGGTGCTTCACAATGTGTTTACAGGCCTCTGTCTTTCCTGATCCACTTTCCCCACTGTAAAACATGAATAAATCCACTCTAGTGTCATTGGAGCCTTGCGGGGTGGAGGAGAGGGGTTGGAAAGACAACAGGTGCCTAATCTTTTTACTGACATAGCAGAAGAATCTCAGATGAAAGCACACAAAGCATTAGGTTCAATATAGAACAGCTTAATAGGGTGAAAATGTTCAGCAGATTCTTTAACTTCTTCAAGGACATCTGAATATTGAAGTTTCATCAAAATGTCTGCTGGATAATTATAGACACTATGGGCTAAAACTTCCTTTAAGTGCTACATGTTTGGCCATGCACAATTATAATGGAAATCCCATTAAAGGCCAATATTGCCAGAGGTGCCAACTCATATGTAACTCTTGGGTCAAATCTAATGATTTTTCACATTTGTTTTAAAGATACTGGGGATGCGGGGTGGACGAAGGAATTCCGTATGTGTTAATATCACCAGTGACAATATTTTCTCTCTCCCTACTGAAATCAATAGTGCAAATCAATCATGACTCAGCTAACATGCCTAAATGTCTTTAGCTGTGAAATTAATCTGCTTTTATTGCATTTTTAATCACCTTGCTGTCAAGAAAAAAATGAAAGAAAAAAGGAATATTTTGGGAGAAAGGGTTAATGACACAAATCAATCCTATTTTTGGCAGATTGTACCAAGGTATATAAATTTACCAACAATTAGTCATAAGTACCTGGGGTTTCCATGAAGACCCAAGTCATGTTTATATATATGAAGAATGCAACTTTCTTTGGTGTCTACTTACTATTTATCTCATCTATAATCTATAACGGATTCATATTTCCTCATTTTCAAATGTTCTCTCTTCCCTCCTGAATGGAATACACTTCTGCTGAAGTATATTGACAATGTTTGATATGTAAGCCTGGACAGTGAGGATTGGCAAGTTCTGAGAAGGTACAGGGAGCATGCAGCTCAACCTACCTCTGCTCCCCTGAAATACACATACAGACATTTCAGCTGGTGCCAATGATGGAGAACATGAGCCCTGGCTGATATTTCCCTTCCGAGCCCAGGGGAACTTAAAACTAATTGTAGCACCTCAACTGCTAGCCAAGTTGAGGTTAGCTAACTCAAATTAACAACTGAACCTCAGACCTCCTGATCTGTGTGGCTTGGCAGCAGCTTTATCGACTGAGCCATCAGTGTTCTGGACTTGTTTTATGAGGAGATATATCTTTCCTCTACTTCTAGAAATACACATTCTTAAACTACAATAAATGTATTTTAATTGTAGAACAGTAAGACAAGATACCACAGCTACAAGAGAGCTCCCACTAACACATAACAAAACCCAGATAAACAATAGTGAATAAATTCTACAGATTTTATACCTTGTCAGGGGCTACAGTTAATCATTGCATTTCGTTTTGAATGTTACAAAACTAAAATGTTCAGTCACATACGTCTCCAAAGTTGTGAGTGACTAGAAAGGAAAATGATGGGCAAACAGAAGGAAAAAAAATATTTTGTTCAAAGTGCAGAATGCTGGAGGCTATCATACATACTAAGAGGGGCATTTAATGTACCTGAGGATGAAGCACTGCGACCTCTTTTCCTGCAACATCATGTGATAGGCTTTTTCAGCACAGGAAAAGATGTGTGGTGGGAGGGAAGAGCACAGCCTCCCTGTGTTGCTCAGATAAAGCTGAGTGACCTGAAAAAAAATTAGATGTCATTGATTATTCTGAATTTGTTCTTCTACCATTAGCAGCATACGCTGGTCCTAACAAAATAAGGAGAAAGGCAAACTACAACTGAAATGTATCTAGAGAGGCTGGACAGATGCTTTTATTGAAAAATGTCACTTTGAGCTAATGGGCCAAATGGGTCTTCTTCATCCAAACCTCTCTTGCAATCTTGTCAAATATGGACCTTGGCTGGTGAGCACATTGAACTTTCTGCTGATCATATTTACAGATCTTAGTTTTGTGAAACCTATTATAAATTCATGAGCCAGTGAAGAATAAAATGGTCTCGAATCTGGACACGTATTTAATATTCTTTTGTGTAGCTGAACAGAATGTCATTAGAGGGTAATCAATGACTGGAACAGGTTGCCAGGAAAAGATTGTGAAAGCCAAGACACTAGACCATTTTAAAAGCAACTAACAGCGATGAGGTTGGGCAGGTGTTCTGGAGGGATTAAATAGGGTGTGCTGAACGACCTTCTTCATCCAGAGTAATTTTGTGATGTTGTGATAAGGATGCTGAGAAGAAATGGTGCTGGAGCTGAATTGACTCCAAGCCAATATGTTTGGCAACAGAATGTCAGAAACAAGCCAGCCCTCTGTGGCATCCTTAGTAATCCAGTTCCTGAGCCAGGCAGGTCTAGAGTATTCCAGGGCACAGTTGATAACAGACCAGCCAGCCTGGCTCATCAGCAGGACTTGGCAGGGCAGACCAGTTACTGAGGGTAGGGATTCTTCCCACTCAGATCTTGTTAACCCCGCAAGCCAAAGGACTAACAGTGGTCCTAACTGGACAAGTAGTGGGAAAGCTTGCCAAACAATGCTTTCAATAGCAAGCAATGTTATTTTAGTTGGTTAGACTCCAGCAGTACCCCAATGCACATTCTGGGGTCCAAACCTTTGCTAACCTTCAAGTAATATTCTCCGGAATTAGATAAGTAAGATGTGTCCCTCCAGGGAGAGAGTGTGCATTCCATCCCAATAAATATCTCAGGAATTTCCATGTAGAAATGTATGGAACTCTCAGTTTGGTCTGCGTGTATCAGATGCCTGGCTGAAAAAAAATGAAATCCAACCAAAATGTGAACAAAATAATTCCACTTAGGGACATTTTGTCTGCTCTCTCTAAATGCTAGGCTTAAAATTGTCTCTTCAGTTGACTTGGAAGTGATGGATATAGATCTTCTTACAGCACAACTTTGATGCTGTGAATTAATGCAGCCTGCAAGTCTAATAAGGGATAATAACACTTTATAGTGCAGACAAACTACATGAGTTCAGTAATAAAAGGCTTTCAGCTAAATCCATCTTTAGTAGTCAGCGGGTTGTTAGAAGTAAAGAATATGAGGAGAATACAATGTTTAATCAATAAACTGAGAATTTATTGAACACTGAGTAGAGTGGAATGAAGAAGGCTCTTTGAACTTTTATATTGTAGCTTGCTGCTCAACTGAACAATCTATACTTTAATGCACTGAATAGTTCCTGTTGCTTTATGTTAAATGGACAAACTTTTAGATGGATAAACAATTAGCTGTTCCTGACCCTGATAAAGATTCACCACAGTCTACCTACAGTTTTATATTTGAAGTCATGCATTGTTTCACAGACATCAATATGGATTTGAGTAGCATCTCATTTAAAGCGACTCTGCCTTCATTACTGGGACGGAAGAAGAGACTTCACAGTGTTGCAAATTAAATCATCTAATCTATTATTTAGAAAATAAATTAAACTGGAGCTCTGTGGAGTCATGTAGCTCAGTGGTTAGAGCACTCGCCTTGCAAGCGAGAAACCTGGGTTCAATTCTCGGCAGGGCGAAACCTTGAGCAAGTTTCCTTACTCCACACGCCTAATAATAATCCCTCCAAAAACAAAAACAATAATAAGTTGGTCATTTTCAATCCACGACTGTTTATGGGACACTGCTGTGCGCAATTGGCTGCCATGTTTCGCCCACAAATATACGGTCAATTCACTTTACAGTCTATTCTGTGAAACGCTTTGAGACGTCGAGAAGACGTGAAAAGCGCTATATCAAATGCAAGGATTATTATTATTGTTATTATATCAAAAGCAAGGATTTTCATTATTATTACCCTTTAACAATGGAGTCCTGTGGCTCAGTGGTTAGAGCACTCGCTTTGCAAGCGAGAGACCTGAGTTCAATTCCAGGCAGGGCGAAACCTTGGGCAAGTTTCCTTACTCCACACGCCTAATAATAATCCCTCCAAAAACCAAAAACAATAATAAATTGGTCATTTTCAATCTACGACTGTTTGTGGGACATTGCTGTGCGCAATTGGCTGCCGCGTTCGCCCACAAATATACAGTCAATTTACTTTACAGTGTGTTCTGTGAAGCGCTTTGGGACGTCCTCCTGACGTGAAAAGCGCTATATCAAATGCAAGGATTATTATTATTATTAACAATAGAGTTCCAAGAGTAATAATCCGATCAAAAAATAAAATATAAAACATAATAATACTTTGGTCACTCAAACCATCATTCAAGGATTATTATTATTTAGACTGACAACTACATCATATTTGGGACAGAGAGCCAAATAGATAACAAAAGGGATCAAATGCAAGGATTATTATTATTATGAGGGACATGCAGAAGGCCGAAGCCAGTCGAACGGAGGCAGCAGGTTAGTGGGTTTGGGAGTAAGCAGGTTGGAGGGGTAGAGAGGTGCCAGAGCAAGAAGGGATTTCAAAACGAGTATGAGGATCTTGAAATCGATCTATTTGGCGATAGGGAGCCAATGAAGCCTGGCTTGAACTGGTGTGATGGGAGTACGGAGTTTAGGCATGTCCCCTGCCCTATCTGCCCCATCGGCAGACAGACTTTCAAGCCATTCTGCCCCTGCTCTCTGGAACTCCAGCCCAGAGTCCCACCGACTCATGCGCTCCCTCCTCTTTTTCAAATTACTTCTCAAAATGTATCTTTTATACTGTGCTTTTGGTCATCTTTCCCCTGCACAGCCTCTTGGCTGCCACTGTGAATGTACTTTGGGACGTCCTCTTGATGTGAAAGGCACCATATAAATTGTACTGTATTATCCTTAAATTTACTGTAACTTCATTTAACACTAGCCAGGACCATATAATGCCACAGAAAGGAATAAAGAAAAATAGTGAAGAGAAATAGTCATTTTATTATTCTGCTAGAGACATATGGTGTGCACCGCTGTGGCTTTTTTTAGTCTGCAAACAATGCAGTCATTGGCCCAAGATGTGCTTGTTCAGCCCTGGAATAGAGTCTGACATCATACTTCAACAAGGGTTGAAATCCCCGCATTATAAGCTGAGTAACTGTTAAACTGTTATAAGATGTATTCACAAACAGCACTGCTCTGATGTCTTGCTGTTCTATTGTTGCCAATAAACGTAATAGGGACCACTTTGTTTGTTCAGCAACCTATCAAATTCAATACGTCAAGTAACCTCCTGGGGCACAACTTTCCAAACTCAACACTGTTCCCTATGTGTTCTTTGAGTGAGGCCGATTTCCATGATGCTTTCAAAATAAGGGTCCACATGCTGCTTTCCAAAGGATTAAAATTGCATTGTGTAGCTGCCATAAGGATTTGATTGCTCCATAATGAGGCTATTTTAGCTTTCCAGACTGCCTTGCTACCCCTTGTGAATGTAAAAGACCAGGTCCTTCCATTCCATGCAAAATCCACTTGAAGGAAATTATCAGTAAGCAGCGTTGTAAATCCAATTGTAACAGAACCTGCAAACCTCTTCCTTTCTAATTTACAATGTTGAAGCATGCTGCTGGGTGGGTATTGACTGTGTGCCCTGTTTTTAATGCAGTTTGACAGATCTTTAACTGCATTTGTTTCTCAAACAGTATTGGACACTCACTTTTGCCTGGGTGTAATAAATGATTTAATTTTGAAAATGCTCTTTGGATCAAAAATTTGATAGGCTTCTTTCAGATCAGTGAATCAAATAATTCTGTGTAACTTGAAATGCTACTAAAAAACATACATGCAGAGCTTCAAATGTGACATTCACAAACTAGATTGAATTTTGCTGATTGCAGCCCCAGGTTTGTGAATATCAGATCACAAAATTCACAAAAGAATGAATTGTGGATCCTACTGAGCAAGATAAGGCCAGCAAGCAAAAAAAAGGGCCTTCATTAATCTTTGCTAACAACATGGCACTTAATAATGCAAAAATTATTACAGTACACCATTCAAAAATTGTTACAAAACTTTTGCTAGGATGTGCTCCAACTTTTGCTCCATCCCCCAGTGCCTTCGCCTTGCTTCCTCCCTTTCCTCCTTCAAGGTCGGTCTCAAGACCTTTCTCTTTGACCGTGCCTTCAGCTCCCCTCTTGACTCTCTACCCCCTCCTCGCTCCCTCCTTCCCTCCCCTCACCCTGACCATTTCCCCCCTGCTCGGGTCCTGACCCAACTGTCCAGCGCCTTGGGACCTCCTCCCGACGTGAAAGGCGCTCTATAAATGAAATCTTGTTGTTGTTGTTTTAATTTATAGGAAACTAACTGAATTAAGTTGTTTTCCTCAATTATTTACTGAAATTTTCCTCCAATGACAGCAGATAGGAGCACAGCGGGTGAATAAAAATCCAAGGTAGTGGCTGATATGGCATTAGGAGCTGTATGGAGACAAAGCAGACGACAGTTGTATCAGCTCTGTTGAGAGTGATAATAATGAAGGAATGGATGCAGTGATATAGTGTTCTATCATTGTACTGAAATTTCTCAAGCGTTTCACAGCATTTAATGTAAAGTGTAGTGACTGTGAATTTGTAGGCAAACACAGCAGCCAATTTGAACACAGCAATGTCCCACAAAAAGCCATGAAGTGACTGACCAATTTTATTTGGTGGATTGTTCACTAAAACACCAGGATAACCTTTTTGAATGATGCCATAGGGTTGTTAATATCCACCAGGACAGACTGATGAGACTTCAATTTAGCTTCTGATTTGAACGATGGTGCTTCTGACATTCTATCACTTCCAAGCAATGAATTGCAATATCAGGCTAGATTATGAGTTGAAATTCCCATCATGCAGGCAATTTCACCCATGTAACTTTTTCAATTGATGGATGACCATTAACAAAAGTATAAAAGGGAAATCAATTTTACTCCTCATTCAATGAGTAGTTTTAAGTCAATGTGAATTAGTTCCTACAAAGTTGGTTAGTTTCTAGGTTATGTCTAGCAGATATAACTAGAAGTCAAATGAAGTTCCTCTGCCCAATTTTTTCTGTAATAAAGAATTCCCTTGTTCCTAGGTTTTATTTTGACTTGTAAATTATTTGTGATTCAATACAATTTCATTGCAACTTTTGAATTCAGGAACAACCACAGCCGTGGTGGCCACAAGATGGCATCATAAGATCAAGTGATCAAGTTTCAGGTTTGGACCAGCAGGTTTTAGTGCTCCACTGAATGACTCCCAACATCCCTGTGTCTTGTGATGATGGGGCTAATCAGAGTCATTGTTAAACAGTAATTACTTGCAGCAGCTACTAAAAGATTCAGGAAAGCTCTTTTCCTTTTGGACTGACTCTCTATCTCTCAATGAAGTAAGGTGCAGCCTCGCCATAATCTGATGGTTTGGATCCATAAAATTGCATCCCACATTGAGCAAAGCACAATAGTAGGTATGAATGTGCCCACACGCAACAGCTGGTGAGCTAAAGGAAAATGGTTGACTCTTGGGTCATTGGGTTAACCCAACATCATTTTCCTTTTTCTGTACATAAGCAAAGTGAAAAGTGAAAATCCACCCTCTTTGAATTATGTGGTGCAATGGCACACTCTAACGTATAATTTCATAATTTTATATATTAGGATTTTGTGGACAGCATTATTTGCTATTCAGCAGAGAATCCATAATCCTGATGTGCCCTCACTTTCTGGGAAATATAATTTACTTGACAGAAATCAGTTTCTATCTTACAATCCTATGAAATGCAAATGCAGAGCTGGAGGGCCTGGGTTCTGCTTAAGTACTCCGAGAAGCTACCTGCGTAAAGGGTGCTATATAAATGCAAATAGTTGTTGTTGTTGTTCGCGTCATTGGAGGCGCTGTCCTTCAGATGAGACGGTAAATCAGAGCCCCGTCTCCCTACCCAGGTGGTCATTAAGGATCCCATAATGTTACTTGAAAAAGAGAAGGGAGTTTTTCCTGATGTCCTTGTAAACCAAAAAATGATCATTTACTTCTTGGCTGTTTGTGGGTCATTGCGTATAAAATTGACCTTTGTGTTCACCTATACATATGAAGCCATAACGACACTGTACAATAAACACTCGTGAAGCACTATGAGATGTTTCAACATAATATGGCATGATATCAAATGCAAGGATTTTTATTAGTTATTTGAGAAATCTTCCTACATCACTGCAAGAGCAGGACTATTGGCTCAATACATGAGGAAAGTAAAGAGGCAGTACCATAAAGGATGATTTTCTGAAAGGGGAACACGTGGGGTTGTGGGGCGATGTAGGAATACTTACCATTGGCTACATTAATAGATATATTTAAAAATTTATGGTATCTATCATGTAAAAAGAAAATATGGGAATATAATAGTGTAGGAAGCATGCATTATTCAGTTGATTTGTCACAAGAAATACAGGACAATCCTGTTATACACTAATTCGGCGTTTCAGGGCCACCATTATAACAAATCTATGAAAAAGAATGGCCACAGTCCAACTTTTGCGTCATGAGGTCGCTGACGTCACTTCTGGTGTGGACTAGTTTCATGTACAGACATGCATTGGCAGGAAGCTGACTGATCTGTATAGGAAACAGAAAGTAACTGCACTTTTGGCTACTATAGTTCCACAGGGTATCCATATGATAATTCAATTCACTCTCTAGCAACGAGCTTAATAAAAGGCCGTCCTGTTGTAACCTCCAAGAAACTCAACCTAATTTATTTTATAAGTAATTAAATCTTATGTAAAATAAAACATCTAGAAACCAATACCTCTCTCTATGGATTTGTAATTATTTGAACATCCTGAAGTAAATACATAGACACTCAAGATAATATTATAATTGAGTTGCATCCACAAATGTGCATTGTCGGAACATGAAGAGAAAGAAAACCTCCTGATAATACTGAGGATTTCTGAGTATGCTTTGTCTTATCTTTTTCCAAGCTAGCATGTTGCAAAAAATAGTAATAACAATAATCCTTGCATTTGATAAAGCGCTTTATCAAGTTGTCGAGACATCTCAAAGCTTCACAGGATATAGTGTAAAGTAGATTGACTTGACTCCAGGACCACTGCTGTCCTGACAAAATGTCTGACAGACATCAAGTCCTGGATGAGAGCTAACTTTCTTCAGTTGAACATCAACAAGACCGAGACTCTCCTGATTGGCTCCCGTCAGTGTCTCCTCACCTCAGGCGCTGACAGCATCACCATCCATGGTTGGACACTCCACCTTGCTAAGCCAGTCTGGAACCTTGGGGTCTTGTTTGACCCTCAACTATCCTTTCTACCTGACATCTGCGTCATGACCCACTCTGCCTTACCCCACCTCCGCAATATCGCCCGACTCCGCCACTGTCTCACACCGCAGATCGCCCAAATCCTCATACATGCTTTCATTGCATCGAGGCTCGACAATGCAAACTCACTGCTTGTCGGCCTCCCCAACTCCTCCCTCCACAGGCTGCAGATCATCCAGAACTCTGCAACCCATGTCCGTGACCCTATCACCCCCATCCTCGCTCAACTCCACTGGCTTCCCATCACACAGAGGATGCAGTTCAAGATCTCTTGCTCTCCCCTACCTCTGAGACCTCCTAACCCCCTACCACCCTATTCGCTCCCTCCACTCAGCGGGCTCTGGCCTGCTTCACTTACCCCGCCTCGCTCGCCTCACTATTCGCGGGCAGGCTTTCCACCACTCTGCCCCCACGCGCTGGAATTCCATCCCGCAATCCCACCGCCTTGACCTCTCCCTCGACACCTTCAAGACCCATTTCATCTTTGACCGTGCTTTCGATTTCTCTGGTCCCTCCCTGCCCTCCACCCTCCCACAGCCCGATCCCCAGCTCAGGTCCGTAACTCTGTCTGTCCAGTGCCTTGGGATGTCCCCCGACGTGAAAGGGGCTTTACAAATGTAATTTTGTTGTTGTTGTGTATTTTGTGGATGAAACATTGCAGCCTGTTTGTGCACAGTGAGTAACCAATTTTTTATTTGGGGAATTTGTTGGCCAGGAAAACAGGAAAAACTCTGTTCTCTCTTCAAATAGTGCCATAGGATCTTCAAGGTCCACCTGAACAGGCAGACGGGACCTCATTTAATTCAGCCTCAACCGAAGGATAGTACCTCTGACAATACATCACATGCCAGCAATGGATTGGAGAGTCAGCTTAGACTATGTGATTCCAATTCCCAATGAGGGGCTTGAACCCACAACCTTCAGGCTCAGAGGCGAGAGTAACATTGTAACATGCTGACATCTATAGTTTGTACAATGAAACACAATAAAACAAGCTCCATCCAACCTGGCGACTTTGCATTCAGTCAGCCTCTTGTTTGTTATGATCAAACTAATTTGTCAAGAATTCCAAAGTGTAAAGAAATATGATTAATAAGAAAAATAAACTTACCATAGCAGAATACATTGGCAGTTCTTTGTATGGATTTACCATCAACAAAATGTGTCCGATGTAAGTCTGCAAGAATATAGTTACATGGTCAAACTATAGTAAATTGATGGATATTTATATGAATGCAGATGACTACCTATACAGGTAATGCCAGAATGTAAGTTAATAGGTTGATTACTAAGCTTTTTACAAAGTAAAAAATTCCTTCAGAATGCAATTCTAAAATGCTGTGACCTTTCATTAAAAGGGGGCATTGTGATTAAAAATGGGGTTAATAAAATAACATAGAATGCAGATACAACAAAAATAATTCAAGCTATCCAACTTCTGTCATTCAAAACCTTAGCTGATTGTATGTGTTCTTTTCCTAAATAATACTCATATCACCCTGCAGAAGTGGTATAAGTAGGGATATTTCAAATGTAAACAAATGCTTGTCTGTTAGGTATAAAATGCAATGCCAAAATGGCAGTGCATTGGAATTAAAAGAGCTGTCAAAATAAACTGGTAAAACATGCTCAATAGGCTGAAAGGCCTTCCCTTGTTTTTTGTTTTCCTATATCACACCAGCAATAATAAAAAAATGCGTTTGTTATAATGCTGTTCACATTTAGAGGACATCTCAAAGTGCTTCACAGAATACACTGTAAAGTCTAGTGACTGTGTACTTTATAGTCAATTGTGGCAGCCAATCTGCGTATACCACTCTTCCAAGGTAGTAAAATTACTCAACAGAAAATCAACAAAAAAGTCAGTAAATATACCAACAATTAGACAATAATATTTCCCAGAGCTCTTTTGACTGTGATTAGAAAAAGTTGCCTAAGATGTACCCAAATCGGGGATTGGAAGGCATGAGGCATAAGAACAATGCACACGGATTTGATGTTTATATTCAATGACAGAATTTGATTTCAATGTTTGTCAACCCCAAAAATATATAGGTTGGCAAACAATTCTTTCTTTACGAAAGCTCAATCTGTTTTGCTTATTAAACCTCAAGTATCATAAAAGGCTTAACATTTTAAATGGTATAATCCACAATTCGTGTGACTCACCACCCTAGTTATCCTAAAATTAAAGCAATAATAAAAATAGATTCATAATTTCACTACAGTCAAAGAAACAACAACAACAAAATTACATTTATAGAGCACCTTTCACGTCGGGAGGACGTCCCAAAGCGCTGAACAAAGGAAAGAATGTACAGTATAATTGCGTAATTAAGCACTCTGAGACGCTACCCTGCATTAAGGGCGTTATATAAGTGCAAGTTGTTGTTGTCATAAGTCAATTTGCTCTCTATCTTATTGAAGTTGTTAAACCTGCACTATGTTTAATTGCAATTTGCATTTCTCGCATTATTATTGGGCAGGCAGCTTGATTCAACCACTAGATCACAGATCATGCCATCTATCACTTATGTCTCCTTATCAGCCAATTCAAAGGAGCCACATTGAAGTTTATGAGACTATGAAGGGTTGTTGACAAAGTTGTTTCATCCAAATAATTCATTTACTACAACTATGGGACACCATTTAAAAATGACCAAGAAGGGTATAAGAAAGCAATGAAGATCTGGAGTCAGACTTCTCTTGGATCACTTTTAAGATCCAGGATTGACAGATAGGGATATAATAAGAAACAGGTAAGTGAATTTCAGACTCATTAAAAAGGGTTGTCCAGCTATTTTTGGCTAAATGCATTTTCTATTTCTTAAATTTCTTTTAATTTCATACAACATCCTAGAGCTGCAGGATTCCTTCCTGGCAGCCATAGCTACATGTATTTGGTCCAGTTTCATAATTTGCAGTTTCTAATTATTTTCATTATTTTGTTTGCTTTATTGTTGTCTAATCTATACTATATAAAGACATAATGTCTGTGTATCTGTTCCTCCGCCAAGAACTCAATAACCGATTGACGGAGAGACATGATTTATACCTCATCGGAAAGGTCTTGCATGGGGGAGTGTCATGAGCATATTTTTTCAGGGATCTCATATCATTGATGAGCTATGATCTAAACAAGCTCATCACACATGTAAGGCAGTTACATGTACGCTGCCCTGGGCTGGGCGGCACCATGTTGGAGTTGGGCTGGTGGCGGGTGATGGTTGGCTCAGTAAAACCATAGGGTTTCCAGGTTCCTCCACGTCACAGCCTAGCAGGACTAGCTGGGGAGGGTGAAGCCTGGGGCTCGAGTTTGGGTCTCACCTGGGGCTGGGATTTAGCCCCACCCCCTCAGGAGTTTAGCTCCTCTCCCTCTCCCTCCCTTATGTATTTCATTTTATATAATATCTTCTATACTAATAAAGACAGAATGTCTGTCTGTGTGTCAATCTACATATTGGATCCTTTGGTTGCAAGCAAAGCTGCAGCGGGTACAGCTAGTCTACAATAATACAATATTCAAGCATGGAGGTAATGATGATTTAAGAATCGGGGTTCCTCAGGAATTCAGATTTAAACTACAATCAACATTTCCTGTCTAATTCACAAACAGATGTGGGCAAAAATCAGCTGGGATTTCTCTCCGACTCGAGAAGTTGTGTTAAGAGTTGTACTTTAATTCCCAACTTGGCAGTTGTCTTCCTATGAGAGCCATGGAAATAAAAAGGCAGCAGCAAGCTGATTAAGAGGGATGCCTCCTTAAGATAAGGGTGGTTGCAAAGTAATTTAATATGATTTCCATAATCTTTTTATTTGAGGTTTGAGACAATCTTTTAACCTAATATATCAGGAAGCTGCCTGATATGTCTAGACTAATTGATTGTCTCAAAATAGGATGAATATTATTTGTATGCATTTTGTGATGAATTCATTTTCAAGGCGAAAGATGGATTGTTGTTTTAATGGTCGGTCTTAAGCCTTTGACAAATAAACTGTGATTACATTTCATTATTGCTCTAAATATTACCTGTACATTCATTGACACTTTCCACAGAATTGTGATATTATAAACAAACAATTAAAAAAAGAAATAACCACGAAGGCAGGGAGATTGCAGACTTGTTAGCTGCAATGTTGTTCTCCTCAAGTCACTTTGAGCTAATATCATTTGGCATGAATCTAATTCCCAGTGCTGACCTGAAAACATTTGATTTTCAGTTTTTAGTGGTAGGTTTTATAACAGACTTTACTGGTAGTGTGCAAATTTATGCCAAGTCCCCAAATACCTGAGAGTGTTGAAACAGTCCCAAGTGAGTTTCAAGGCTTTGAGCACAATCCTCACATAACAGAAATATTCAACATGATATTGTCTACAGATCTGACACAGACTTACATATATCTGATTATTGCTGAACCGTTTCTGAATCTCATAGAGCAGACTGCTATCCGTCAATTCACTCAAAGTAGACAGGTCATCATTGGGTGCAGGAGGAATCAACTTCACCTGGAATCAGCGTGCAAAGAGAGAAAACAACCCACATTAAATTCACAATAGAGACCATTCCCAGTGCTGGGATAGTGTTGCTCTGCAGGAATATAACTATGCTCCTAATCCTCGTCATCTTAATTGTGAAACCAGTTTTCAGTAAATTCTTTAAGGAACTACAGTAGCACATGGTACTGGTTGATGCTGAATTAGCTGATATCTTGGCAGTGTAAATACCTACAACATTTGGGTTTGGTAAGAAAAAGATCAGCCAACAATCTAAACAACTCACATTTATATTGCCCCTGCAAACAGTGTAGCGTCTTGGGAAAGCTTACAACATTTGCATTTGAAAAACATTTTCGAGTAAGAATCTAACCACTGTCTCCCATGTTTAAATCCATTATGTTCTTAGTTAATAATTAATAAGGTATAATTTCATTCTCTTATTCTTAAACTGCCATTTTTGAAAATAATATGCTTCTAGTATGAATCAATTTGCTTTGACATACAACCACAGGCCTAAAAACTGCACTCAGGTCTATTTAAACTGTCAGCACTTGATATTGTCAGTAATTGTTGAGGATGAAGACTAAATACACCGGAGTATTTAAAAGTGAGTCAGCTCCAATAGAAGGTTTCATTGTGAGACACCTCACAATAACTGTAACAATGGATCCCTAAAGGAGCTCTCGCAACTATTGGGTATGTTTATGAACCAGTCATGAACTTCAATCAATAATATAATAATGCTTGAATCATTTTTATTAATTGAGGTTCATGACTGATTTATAAACACGCTAAATTGTTTGTTTTGATAACTACAGCGTATATTTATATATACTTAGTTTTATTCATAGATATTTAAAAAATGGCAGTACCTATTCTTACAATGTTTGATACAATGGCAATCTCCTAATATGAATCACAACTATTTGAAAGTGTCTGTTTCTCGCAGAAATATACAGAATGCGATGTAAAGCACCACTTGGTAAAATCCTTGAATCAGGGCTCGGGAGAAGAAGGAATTACCAATTCTTCACCTGAAAATAGCACAACAATAATTGTAAAACATTGAAGTTAAAAAAGATTCTTGTGGCATAGTGGTTAGTGCACTCGCCTCACAAGCTAAAGGTCACGGGATCGATTTCCGGGCTGGAGTGAAACCTTAGACAAGTTTCCTTACTCCACACGCCTGTTTACCTAGCAGTAAGTGGGAACCCAGTTGTTAGTCGATTGGCAGATCGCTTTCCAGGGGTAAAATAATCCCTCCCAAAAATTTTGGTCGCTCAATTCACGAATGTTCGTGGGACACTGCTGTGTGCAATTGGCTGGCATGTTTTGCCCACAAAATACACAGTCAATCCGCTTTACAATATATTTTGTGAAGCGCTTTGAGATGTCTCAATGATATAAGGCTCTATATCAACCGCAAGGATTATTATTAAGGATTATCATGAAGATCTGTTCCAGTGGCTATGGGGTGAAATTTGTGATGTTTCATATTGAGTTCCTTGTTATAACTGATGGTATTAATTATAAAATATATTTGTGGTATTACAATGAAATGTTCAAATTTACCTATAACGACTCAAAAAGCAAACCTTGTTACTGTTAAAAATTCAAATTGAAGATTATTCAGAAAATGTTGGTAAAAACTCTGAAGCTGTGCTGTGTTAATAGCTGTGAATTTCACTCCTTTTACAGCTCCTCAGAGAGACATGGACACAGGTTGGATCACCATTGGTAACTATTGAATGATATGATCATAAGTTGACAGTTATTATCAGTGATAAAATTTCACATTATGTTGAGTCAATAAGCCATTTAGTAATTATCACTTCAAATTTGTTATGAAATTTCCCCCATTATCTCATTTAGATTATAGCTTTCAACATGTCATTGGACTTACACAGAAGAAATAAAAGGATAGATGTTTGGCGAGTAGGAGTATTAAGGGTATGGTAACATAGAAGGGCATTTGGATTAAAGGTTCTAATAAACTGGTGGAACAGGCTTGATATTCTGATTGGCCTCCTCCTGCTCCAGTTTAACTATGTCCTTATATCTTCCCTCTGCCCTATATTTTACACTTTCTGAAAGCTAGTGTTTAAATTTTAGAATACTAGTTGCTGAGCAAATCTTGATCTGTTACATCAGCTCCTGTATATTTTTAGTTGATAAACTAGATTACAGATAATGTTTTGAATTGACTTTTCAATTTTCCATTGCCTCTGTGGAATACATTGAGAGAATCGTTTTATGAGCTAATGTTTTCTTCTGATTTGTTCTCTTCAAAACTGTTCCCATTAAGTGGTACATGCTGTATTATTTGTTGGGTTATTCGAACTATTACCAGCCCTGAGGAACTCATTATCCTCTTGTTCTTCACTCGGCCAGGGATAATCAAAATAACTGGATAACATGATTGCTGGAGCAATGAATTATAAGATTTTGATAGGATTTGTGGAACAAGAAACACATTTAGATATAAAGCCAAAATCATCAGCAATGCTATTTATTGTAGGAAAATAGAGCAAAAACAAAATATAGTTTGGTCCATAAAGCATTATTTTTCTATATATACCCTACATACACTAACCCTACCTGCTATCTCCTGAGGGAAGCTTTCACATACAGTAGATACTCTTGTAATTTCCTTTCATCCCTCTCATGCCAGTAGCATATAATTCATTGTGTCATCTTGGAGTATTTGGTTATCCCAGTCTTCTGTTCCTAAATCCTTCATCCTGTTCTCAAGTGTCTCCTTTGATTGAACTGACTGACACAGCAACAATTGATTTTGTAGTCTTACAAATCAACTATTGGAAACCACACTCTTATCTATTTTAAGATTCTCTTAACTATTTTAAGACTGTTTAATATTAAACCTGTGCCCTTTATTTCAACTCGCAATCAAAACTGTTGACATGTACGTGTCTCTCAGAATTTTAAAAACCTGGCTTGTGTTGTTTCTGTATGTTTTACATATAATGAATCAGCTTTACAAGCCTCTCTTCATTACTTAAGAGTTTCAAGTCACAGAATTGTCCATGTCACTTGTCACTTCCAAAGCAGAAATATCCTTTCAATGTTAAATGTCCAAAACTATACAAAATATTCAAAATCTGTCCCAGTTAACTATGCAACTTTAGAATAACAAAGTCAATTTAATTTTCAAATACTTTCAACGAGCAACCAAGTATTTGAATAGCTTTATTGGCAAAGGCATAAGATTGACTGAAAACCTTTAGTCAATCAATAAACACACTCAAACCCTTATCCTTTTGCTGCTCTGCTCATGGGCAATCCTTTATGTTGTATAAACATTTACTGTTTCTTCTTCCAATAGGCATTACTTTTTTTAAAAATATATTGTTTTTATCAATAATAAAATGTATCTGCCTGGTTTTGGCACATCTGCCTAATCAGCCCAGATTGTCATGAATTCTATTTATTATTTTTATATTCACTAACCACATACCTTGGAATTATCATAATATTTGAGGATTAGCAAATGGACTAACCTTGGCGAAATGTGCATACTGTTTGCGGGTTCCAATAAATTTACTTACCTTGACTTTCTGAGCTACAATGGGATTTTGAGAATTGAATGAGAGCTCATTCATAAAATAATTATTAGCCTTTGATCTGCTTGAATTGTCAAATATTTATGAAGCCCTGGGTTAGTTTCACCTGAATTAAAGGACTGATGTAGCCTTTTGGTAATATCTTCTCTGAGCTTCTTCCAGTCAGCTGGATGCCTGCTGATTAAAATTAAGTTTCTTTTATATGGCAAGCAGCCAACTGACCAGAAAAAGCTGACTGTAGGGAATCAGATTAAGGGCGATATAAATTAAGGAGTTTGTAAAAAATTTGTGGCATTCCTTAAAGCTCTCCCTATGCTAATTAACATTAAGAGCAGGTTAAGGAATCCTGCAAATTTTGATCGTCTTTGTTAAATTATTTATAGCGACTTTCACGTCGGGAGGACATCCCAAGGTGCTGGGCAGTCAGGGATTCCACTGTACAATATAAATGTAGTACATTACAATTTACATTATACAGTATCTTTCAAATCGGGAGGATGTCCCAAAATGCTCGACAATTTTCCTCGGCACCTATGCTGAGGATGGGAGCTGAGAGGGTTCAGGAGGAGAAAGGTGACCAAAAACACGACCAAAGAGATATGTTTTGAAGAGTAAAAGGGAAGGAAGCAGTCGAAATAACCTGGGAATCAAATTCCAGAGACAAAGCCAAATGGCTTAAAGATTCCCCCTTTCCCCACCTATAGTAGCCAGATAAAGTGGAGAGTATGTAATAGGTCAGTGTCAGCTGAGCAAATGGATTGGCTGGCTTGGGAAGGGTGAAAGAGTTTGTAGCATAGAGTAGGACGAGGGATTTAAAAGTGAGAACGAGGATCTTATACTTGATCCATTGGGGGATGGGGAGCCAGTAGAGCTGCGTAAGGATATACGATGGTCACAAGAAGAGCGAAAGGAGATCTTGGGAAAATGGTTTCACACACAGAGTTGTTGGGATGTGGAATGCGCTGCCAATAAAGTCGTAGAGGCAGAGCCTATTGTAAGTTTCAAGAGGGAAGAAGATAGGTATACAAAAGATAAAGGCTTGAAGGGATACGGGAACAAGGTAGGGGTGATTGAATGAACAGTTTGCTCTGAAAGCTGATGCATACTTGATGCATACTGAATATAGCCTCCTTCTGCAATGTCAATTTCAATGATTTTAATAATAATTGATACATTATCCACTTGCCTGTTCAAGTCTTGATGTTCCATTCAGTGCGCTATTGTCAATGGGGTTGTCTTGTGAATTCTTTTTCTGCAAATTTCCGGAAGCATCTCTGAACATTGTGTCTTTTTCCAACATGCTGTCCTGTTTAGCAATTGGTAGAGCGAAAGGATTGCTACAGAAACAAGAACAATAATTGCAGTCAAATTACCTTCCCCTGTAGATCAGCACAAAAGCAACTTTATTATAAAGAAAATCAAGTACAAAGAAGGCTTCTAATCAATAAGGACGTTTCTCTATAGTCAGAAAATACAACTTGTTGTCTAAAACAATTGGAGGCAAAGTCACAAACAGTCATATTTTAAGGCCATATTGATTCTCTTTTGTGTATATCAGATCCACATCAAAGAGAAAATAATCCGAAAAAGATAATGAGTTTTTATTGCAATTCAAGTTAGTAACATTTAGGAAATGTCACAAGTTAAATTGTACTGTTTCTTTAAAAAAAAGTATCAATGAAACACACATACGTTTAATGTGAGAACCAGAGAATATTAATGATTGCATGCAAGGGATATTGATCTAGCAAAGATGATATTAGAGATGATTTCTCCTGTATAAAAATCTCCTAACTCTGAGATATGGGATCTAATATGTGATATGTGAAACCAGATATCATTACAACTTCAGTTTTGCCACGGGAATTTGCAAATATAACCACAATCCCAAATGTCGGCAAAACCGAAAAAAGGCCAAATAAGTCCAACTAAAAATCGGAAAGAAAACAACAGTAACAAAACGTTCTTGCTGCTTTCAGAGTCATGGATTTCTTTCAGCAAATCGTTTTAGAAAATGCCACAATTTCAGGCACTAACCTGAAGCCACAAATAGCAGTGACCGCTGTTTTACAAATGCTACATTTCAGACACCCACTGAAGTTAATAAAGGCCACATTTTGTTAGAAAAGTGGAACATTGTTTAGAGGAGTGGTGAATTATCATCTAAACTCTTTCTCCTTGAGCCAGTATACAATGTCCCCTCGCAGTCTCCTTCAGTTTTAAAAATCATGATATGGTTGCAGGAAGAACACCCTTCAACTTATTTGATCTCATCCTTCCAGCACCCTTATGTTCTGGTCAATGGAACAAATATCCCGAGACACTAGCCTTGGCGAAGTATGTTATATATATGAAAGTTGTTGTGGTTGATCATGTTCAAACAGTTACAGTTCATTTGAAGAAGGTATAAATGAGAACAACTTCACTACTTGATCTCACCCTTTATATTACTTAGTGATCCAATCTGATTCTCAGATTCAGAGTTATAATGAAAGGGAGTAATAATTGTAGTAAACCAAAGTATTTTGCTTGCAATGAATATGTAATTTATTATGTCAATTTAAATATTGACAGGAGGATTGCTAGAATTATTCTAACCCTGTTGGACAGGCAAACAATTTCTCACTTTTCATCTGTTTACATTAATATCAAATACATTTTAGTGAAATTATTGATAATTCAAAGGGAAAATTAATTTAACATGCACATTTTGAGTGCGATTTTATTGAAACTAATGTAAATATTATTTCAGAAATGTGGCTTAGGTTAAATTGTATTAACACGTTTAGTGTGACAACCAGGAAATATTAATTGCTGATTTAATCCCTGTGCATGTCAGGGATATTGATACAGCAATGATGATATTAGAGATGATTTTACCTGTACAATAGTCTCCTTACTCTGATACACACACTGAAAGTTTTTATGGCTTAGTCTATGTTTGACATTTAACTTTTTTTGACAGTGTAAGTATTAGAGTGTATTTTTCTCTGGATGCTGTAACGCTAAAGCCATTCAGTGGTGCAATACTTTGGAATTTGCGAGCTTTACAAGGAGTAAACCATGGGTTAAACGTGTATAAACAGACAGATTTACAAGTGTCTTTAAATATGAAATTATTTAAAGGCTTATGTGGTGGAGTAGAATTTCATGAGTTGGTCTGATAAACATCTGTTTTCAGAATTCATTTCTTTACAAATCTTTCCTGAATCCTGTTATGAATACTGCCCTTGAACCCATTGTCTCTTTTTCTTATGGTAGATTCTTAAATACGCATCAAAACTATCTCATAATTCATTTTAGGCATAATATAAAGCCCATTCTGATAGAATATAATTGATGTAAAATTCAGTTGTGTTGTAATAGGTGTAATGCACTACTGTAAAGCTACTTTGTTACACAATAAGTTTTTTTTGTTGGAACTTGTTTCAGTGTGATTCTAAATTTTTCAAGCCACCGATGATGATGAAATGCCTCAAATTCATTTGATCAGACAGGACCTCAGTTTATTGGTTTGCCTGAAGGATTTGACTTCTGACAATGCAGCACTTCCCTAAAACCATGAGCTTAAAGTCAAGATCTGGAGCCTGAAACTACAACCTTCTGACTCAGAGGCAAGAATGATACCAACTGAGGCAGGAATGTATTAACTCTACTTATACATGAATGTGTTTTCACAGTAAAATATAATTTTGTATTACATATTGAAACTTCTATAAGATCTGCAGAGATAATATTAAAATTGCCACTTCATACCCTGACTGTCAACTTGATTTTTTTCTTGTATTGGAGAATGCAACTTCTGACAGCTCTTCATGAGAATGCATGAAATTGACAGGCAATTTTTTTGTTGTCAATCACAGATTACTTGGATATAATTGGATATTCTGGTATGTATCATTTAAATTCAGTTATCTTTATTCAATCATTTATTCCCTCTCTATTTCCAATTTGCATTTATTTCTCCCACTATTTGTTGTTAGGAAATAAATAATGACTATTTATTTTGTTTACCTACTCAAATAACGTCAAACAATCTAAAAAATAATCATACTTTCCAATGTGGTAAATAGCATGTAGCATGTGAAGTGGAGAGATAAGGATACAGTGAGGATATAAAATCTAGAATTTGCTTTCTGGATTTGCAAATACCATTTTGATTCACAAAGCACGAATCTTTCCAGTAACTAGAAATGCAATGAAATTTACTTCTGGAATGGAATTCCATGAATCAACATGACTCACGTACTATTATAAACAGGAGTCATTATCATGGACATAGATAGAAAATAATAATAATAATCCTTGCATTTGATATAGTGCCTCATCACATCTTCAAGACAAATCAAAGCACTTCACAATAAAGTGTAAGGTGAATTGACAGTATATTTTGTGGGTGAAACACGGCAGCTAATTGCGCACAACAAGTAACGATAAACATATAGAAATGTATAGGTATGATACCACAAATAACCATGAACCTATATAAAAAATGGGAGACTATTTGGCCTCTTTCATGCTATTCTCCTGCTTTTTCTCTATTTTCAACCCTAATTCATATTCATCGACAAAGTAACGCACAGTACTTTAAAGGTTACAAAGCCCTTTTCCCAGCTCCAAAGTATCAGCAATAGGTTTTAAACTAATTGCTGAACATGTCAGATTGCCAGATGATGCCTTCTGATTCCCCTAAATGGAGGCTAAATTAGATATTATAGGTATTTGGTGCATGATAAGGAAGCATTTTGGAAGGTCAAGAAGGTTGTGTTAGATATAGAATCAACGTGTGATGTGAAATCATGTTAATATTATTTTTAAACAAAAATTAATTATGCAATATAATTCTGAGTATGCAATTCAATATATTCTTATTTGCATAGTATTTCACAATAGATCTTTCAATGTGAATGATAAAGGAATAACTAAACTATTAACTATGTTTCACTTGGTCATTATTGGGGTTGGCCACATTCTCTAACAAGTTCACAAATCTTGTTGTGTACACCACATACAACCCCATGAATGTGCAAGCACATTTTTTGCAGCAAATTCCAATAAATAAAAAATAATGTCAATTGCATTTAATATGCCTTAACATGCCAAAAGGTTTCAGAACCCTCATTATCTATAAGCCTGACTGTTTTCTAACATGAAACATAAAGGAGGAGGAGGTATGAATAAGACTTTGCTGAAAGATTAATTCATATTCGTCAGATATGACTAGCGCTAACTATAGGGAAGCTTAGGATTGTTCAGATTCATGAATCAGACATCAGCATGTGGTAAATAAAGGTGCAATAAAATGAATTCTTATGTCGTGCTATTAGAGGATGAGATGGTGGGGGTGATGACAAATAGACTAACTACATTGTACGAACCATGTAACTAGCGGTAAAGGAATGTCAAAGTCAATTACCACAGGGAAGTCTGTTATGCAGAGATTTTCCAACACCTTACATTTATGTAGAACCTGCCACATAAAAGCATGTCTCGAAGCACTTTGACAAATGTAGCAGCAAGGAAATGAGAGGTTTAAAGATGTTGATCTACTGAGAGTAGTAGACCACATTACATGCAAACTCAGTTATAAGGTTCCTGATAAGGTGGATTCGCCTATAGGATGGGTGCTTTGTGGACCAGCTAAAAATGACTGACTTCTGGGTCATTAGGTGATCATCAATGTCACTTTCTGCATAATGAGGAAGCCCTTGCACACAGAGCACATGCAAATCATGTAGGAAATGATGTCGGATATCACCTGACAAGTCAGATGTCAACCATTATTTGATAATGGATGATGGTTAGTGCAGGGAGTGGCATACAATGCTGAGTGGCAGGAAATGACATTTTGTTTTGACTTTGTGTACTGTTACAACAAGATGCTGGGTTTATGGAACTGAAACAGAGCTATGAATGGACTTACTGTATTATTGATTAATAATGTATTATTGATTCTACCACTACCAAATTTGGTTTTAGGCTTACCGTTGCTTTAATCACTGGTTTAATCCTCTTCCCGTAGGAAAAGGTGGAAACAATAAAATCCTTGCACTTTGCATTTCATTCCTGTTTCCATATGCTTTGCAAATCCCTTCTCCATTTTCCAACAGAAAACTTAAAATCAATTTAAAAGTTTCTGGGGGCATTAATAAGCCTGAATGAGAATGAAAAAAATTACAAACAGCTTGAGCTACGGGTGGCAAGGCCACTCAATCGCTTGGTTTGAATTATATTAAATTATAATTTTCAAGCAGCTTTTTACATCTACTACCTAGGCAGTTAGATAGATTGAGCGCTAATCTCCTTCCCTAAAGTCTATAATTAATCAAGCCAGCAAGATTGGGGATAGGATCTTCTTCTTTGATGTACGCTCAGTGTTTTCAGATAGTATCAATGGCATGTTTCTAAGTAATAGCCGTGGTACTTCATTTAAGTTGTGGTTACCTGAGAGAGAATATTAAGGATGATGCTTATCCAAACCCTTTTGTAAAGTTTAAAGTCTTATCTTTCCTTTTCTCATTGTCTGGAATTTCTTGCAAGAGCGGAAGAGGCTTAGGAGTACAAACATTTGGAGTATAAACACCTGCACAGACTAGTTGGGGTGAATGGCCAATTCCCATGAGATAATGTATTGTTCTATGTAATTTTGTGTATAACTTAATCTTTTATTCAATAAATGAATCATTGGGTTTGCTTCTCTTCTTTAGTTTTGTCCCCTACTCTTGATGGTGCTGATTTGTGCAACAATACCATTCCATAGGCACTGACAGCCCTCCAGTAACTTGATCAAGTCCCCGTCCTCACACGTGAATGTGGATATTGAGCGTGGCTGTTCAGTCACAGGAGATATCATAGCTCAGCCCAGTCCAGGTTTCACTTCACATCAATAAATGTGAACTTTCCAAAAGGGAGGGAGCAGGAGCCATTGGTTAGTGATCAGGAGTATGAATTCTAGCTGATTTCTCCTCATCAATACAGAACACCTGTACTAGCATCTCAACTGATACCCCAGCAAAGATCATCAAAGTCAGAAAGCATTCAAACTAGTAACATTTTGAGTTAGATGATTTAGTGCTACATCAAATGATTTCTTTACTCACATGGGCATCACTAAAGCAGAAGTGAATATTTTGCACATCAATGAGGAATGTCAGAACTTGGGATGCAAACCTTCTCTACTTGTTACAACCAGTATAATTAAAATGTAACATTCATAAACTGGAAGTCACTTTGCTAATTGTGACTTTCTATTCAACTCCAATCATAGGCTCACTTCTAGATTCACTAAGCAGCCAGCATTTGCTTTCCAGCTTTTTGTCAGATTTTGTGTTCCTTTTCTTGCCAGAGAAACAACTAGGTGGAAAAATGAGGGCCCCCATTGCAGCTTGCAATGCGTGTTAGGTACATTATTTCAGTCAAAGGTATAATATTTCCTTTTAGTTCCTTTTGGAGTGAAAATCTAACACAGCACACATTTTACCTTTCCCTGTCATAAAACAATTTAAAAAAACTAATTCAAATTGCGGTCAACTCCTTGACTACCACAAGCAGATTTTGAAAACAGACAAAATAATGTATCACCAACAACAAATATTATGCTTTTACAATCCTGATCTAATAATTGACTGGTAGGGACTATTTCAGCTCCTATCTGACTGCTGTTGCTATCTGTGGGCATGTATAAAAATATAACACAAAACTGCTTGACCAATGGTAAGAACTCATTAACTTACAGCTCCCACTTGGCTATCAAATGCAGTCTATCATTTAGTGTGGATTTCCCTCTTCAAAGAGATATGACTGAGGTTGGTTGTGCATCACAAAATGTGGACATGGATCAGAGCTGGTCTGTTCACTAAAATGCTTAAAATTTGCTTAAAATGGAATTTGCAGAAGTGAGGCAGTTAGAACTATTCCTAGCTCATTCTGTTGCAGAGTTAAACTGTACCTTATAATAGGTTGAAATGGTTTGGAAAGATTACCTAACTTTTCTTCAAACCTGGATCAGCTAAAATTGATTCATATTATGCCCAAGATTTTGTTTATACTTTTGACCAATGCTTCAAGTACACTGACAATGACTGAGGCTTTTGCTTTGAAACTTTTTACTGTATAATTTTCAGATCAAACCAAGAATGAAAGCAATGACAGTAGAGTCATGAAGAGAATTCTTACAGTTTTTTGACGGGCACAGGAACATCATGAATGATCTCTTCGTAGGTTTCCTCTTGTGATTCTGGAACAGGGCAGGAAGTTCCAGACAGTTTCCACCTCTCGTTCCAGTCTGCTTCTGCCTTCAACAAAATTTCTTCCAGAAATTTAGAGGCTGCAATATCTACCAATCAGAGAGACAATACTGTTACAAGTTCTGAACTACACAAACTGCCTGAACATTGTGCTCTGATTAGTAGTATTCAAGTCATATTAGTCACTCATAAAGTCAGATGAAATAAAAGTATTACAGGACTATTTTAAGACTTATTTTTCTGTATGTTTTAACTTTAAATATCTGTTGTATAGGATATCTTTCAAACCTATTATAATTGCAATCTGTAATAATTAAAGCTGAATACCACAGTATTCAAACATGTGTAATTGACACTATTAATATTTTATATTAAGTTAAAAACAGAAATATTCATATGATTTTGCAAAGGGCTTTTGCTAGCTATATATATATTTTGCAAGCATGTAATATCTTTTCCATATAATATCTGAAAATTTTGCACACAATATCTATATATATATCATACATATCAGCTATTTCCAAGTGACAAAACTCTGGGACGATCCTGACATCAGGTGGGACTTTACTTAAGTTGACTGTTGACTTCGAACTTTTTTCCAGTGTCTTGGAATACCGCATTCGATACGGTCGACCACGCTATCCTACTCCACCGCTTGTCCTCCCACCTAAACCTTCAAGGCACTGTCCTTGAATGGTTTAGGTCGTACCTTTCTCACCGTCTTCACTTTGTCTCAATGAATGGCTTCTCCTCCACCCCCCGTACTGTCTCATGTGGTGTCCCTCAGGGCTCTGTCCTCGGTCCCCTCCTCTTCACCCTCTATATGCTCCCCCTCGGTGACATCATCCGCAGACATGGAGTTAACTTCCACATGTATGCGGATGACACCCAACTCTACCTTTCCTCCTCTACTCTCAACTCCACGACCACCGATGTCCTGACAGCCTGCCTGTCCGACATCGAGTCCTGGACGAGAGACAACTTTCTTCAGCTCAACGTGCGAAAAACCGAGGCCCTCCTGATTGGCTCACGTCAGCGCCTCCGCACCTCAGGCGCTGACACCATCAGCATCCAAGGCTGCACTCTCCACCTCTCAAAGCCAGTCAGGAACCTCGGCGTTTTGTTCGACCCTGAGCTGTCCTTTCTCCCTCACATCCGCACTACAACTGGCACCGCCTTCCATCACCTTCGGAACATCGCCAGACTACGGCACTACCTCACCCCTCACGCTGCTGAAACCCTGGTCCACGCCTTTGTCACCTCAAGGCTGGACTATGGGAACTCTCTCCTCGCCGGCCTTCCCGCCACCTCCCTCCACAAGCTGCAGGTCATTCAGAACTCTGCAGCTCGTGTACTGTCCCGCACCAGGCTTCGCGACCACATCACTCCCACCCTCGCTCGCCTCCACTGGCTCCCCATCCCCCAGAGGATTGATTTCAAGATCCTCATCCTCACCTACAAGGCCATTCACGGCCTTGCTCCCTCCTACCTCTCCAACCTACTATCCCCCTACCTACCTGCCCGTACCCTCCGTTCCTCTGGCTCTGGTCTGCTCCACGTCCCCCGCCCCAACCGCCCTACCATCGGTGGTCGGGCCTTCAGCCTCTCAGCCCCCAGGCTCTGGAACTCCATCCCCCAGTGCCTTCGCCTTGCTTCCTCCCTTTCCTCCTTCAAGGCCGGTCTCAAAACCTTTCTCTTTGACCGTGCCTTCAGCTCCCCTCTCGACTCTCTTCCCCCTCCTCGCTCCCTCCCTTCCCTCCCCTCACCCTGACCATTTCCCCCTCCTTGCTCCCTCCCTTCCCTCACCCTGACCATTTCCCCCTCCTCGCTCCCTCCCTTCCCTCCCCTCACCCTGACCATTTCCCCCCTGCTCGGGTCATGACCCAACTGTGCAGCGCCTTGGGACGTCCTCCTGACGTGAAAGGCGCTTTATAAATGGAATCTTGTTGTTGTTGTTGTTGTTGTTGTTGGAACACATTTTTTAGCAACACATTTGTAATTTTGGCCTCCTTGGCCATTTAGTCAGACAGTAACTTATTCCATGTGGGTGTTAAGCAACATAAAGTAGGACGGCCACCACTATGTGACCACAATCAAATCTGCATATTTTTGATCAGTTCCCTGACCTTCAATTACCTGTGGACTGGCCCTGGAGACTTTTATAATGTGCAGGGTCCTCACAAATTATGCAATTTATGAAGCCAAGTAAAAATAGTTCTGAATCATTTATTGTGACTGGTGATTCTCACTGCTGGTACGCAACAGTTATTGAACTTGAAGTGAGAGAATACCCAGAAAAAACGCCTTGCAACCTTCTTGTTTTCTGAGAAGAAATATGGTATGACGAATGTGCCTTCAGTTGGCATTATGGAAGGATTATGTCAAGGGACCTCAGACTCTCTCTCCAGGATTGTTCAGTTTGGATAGAATACTTTGTATCAGCAGTGTTACTAAGGGACCAGGATACAATGACAAATTGAGTCTTCAGAGAGATTCCAACAAATATGAGCTACAACCTGGGTAAAGGAGCTGAGCAGGAAGGATTATTCCTGATTAATAATGGTTAATATTTGTTCAGTTTACCAGTTTTTTCAATGTGATCCTGGGTATTGAACTGCATATTTTGTGATCTGATTCCAAATGTATAGATTTTTTTAAAAAAATGTAGTTTCCAATTATTTTCTAATTTTTTCCCTATTGGAATATTTTCCTGGTTCATAGCCTCCTCATAATAAGTACAATTCTCCAAATACTGGTTGGTTCCTTAGAATATCCCGTCCAAATAGTCACTTTTGATATGTGAGTTTTGGCAGTAAGACTAAGTAGGCCACTCAAATCTAGAAGACATAACAGTGATCTATCACTCCTCACCTGGTTGCCTACTCCACAGGTAGTAAATATAGAATTTCTTGAATCACAACTTTGACACTAAAATACAAGTTGGCAAAGGGAAGATCTCATGAAGTTACTAGTTTCCAGCGTAACCTGGATATCTTGTAAAAATCAACCCATAACAATATAATCATTAATAATAGTAGTCATCCTGCTGTTGATGGCAGCACTCTAGTCTATGGGTCAGAAACGTATGGGTTCAAGCTCATGTCAGAACTATGTCAGTCTAGACTGATTGTGATAGATGCTATTTACTTTCTTAAGTGTCCCTTAAAGATCCCATGGCACTATTCAAAAACCGAAGGGAGTTTTTCTCAGTGCCCTAGCCAACAATCTTCGGATAATATTGTTTATTTAGTTCATTGTTTGCGTGACATTACTGTGTGCAAATGGCTGCCTCACATATTCAATCACTATTGTTTACAGAAACTTTGTGAAGCGCTTTGAGCCTGAGACATACTCGAAGTTATAGGTGTTGTACCAAAATTCAAGGACTTTGCCCCTTAATCACATTGTGCAGTCCCTTAGAGTTGCAATCACTGCTTTGTGTTACTGTGTACTGCGCTTAAGTTTGCATTCCATATCCAGCTTTAGAACATGATTACTGATTGATTAGGTTGTGTTTATGTAGAGGCTCTGATTTCTTAAAATTCTTATTGTGATGCTGTGATAACTGAGTTTTAACAATCACATGCTGTCCACATTGACTTACTGTAACATGGTCCTAAACACTACAAACTTTTATGAAACAAAATGTGTTTCTTTTTTTAAATAAAACACACATCTAATTTTATTGAAACTTGCCATATTTCAGATGTCATATCTAAGAATCTTGACATTTTCAGCTTATCTCTTTTCTCACTGTACTTTATTGTGGGACCCTATGTCATAGATAAATCAATGCAATCCATTTAAACTCTCCTTCAAAAGCACTGCAGAATGTCCTTTATGTGGAAGTAATCAAGCAATGAAAAACAAAATGACAAGCAACATCCATTCATCCTGTCAGAGAACAGAATCAGTCTTGCAGCTTGGTCACTGAATATTGAGTCAGTTTCACACACCTGTGGCCTTCTCTTCATTGCAGTTAAGAAGATTAGGATTTGCATGGTGTTTCAAAAGCAACTTCACAATGGTAGTCTGTGAAAGAAACAAATGTTTTAATGCTTTTTTAGTTTTCATGCCTACACACTTGCATTATTTATTCAACCACCAAACAATACTTTTGGTTTGGAGAATTGAACATCACGAATGTGTACCATCTGTTGACTATTATACTATGAGTAAAAATATAGCTATCATACTGAAAAACACTGAATTTGAATCATTTAACCATAAACTGTAGTCTGCAAGCTGTTCAATTGTCAAGATTTACCGATTGTAATTTTGTGGTTTCTTTTCACCGGTACAATATATCTTCCTCTCTCTTCTGTGTTTGAAGGATAATCTGACTCAATTGGGAAGAACTTTTGGCCAAAAAAATTCGAATTGCTTGGATCTACAATATTTATCATATGGTTTATCAGAAAAGGAATATTTTCCAATCTTTGCATAAAGTGTCTGAGTACTTTTGTCCAGTTGCTATGGAATTGAATTAAACCAGTCATATCCCTATACTGCTCATAGCTCTATAATTTCATGGATCCTCACCGTCAACTAAAATATAACCAATTTGCATCACAAGTGGGGAAGCATAGGTTATTTGAATATCAAGTATCAATAACAAGCCTGATGACTAGTAATATTCAATGCACACTTCAAGCTCCTGTTATAAACTCACACTCAAGCTTACTTATCCTTTTTCCCAAATAGGTTCCATATACCAAATTTAGCAAACATACAATAAATTTGTGGCCCATTTTAGAGTACACTTTCATAACAAGAGGTCCATTAAAACCACAGCAACAACTTGCATTTAGATAGTGCCCTTCACAAAGGGTAACGTCTCCTAGTGCTTTACAGGTACAAGGTTGGACACTGAACAAGAGAGAGGGGTTTGAGGGTAAAGAAGGTGGCCGGGTTGAAAGAGGTTAAATTTGTGGTGGGACTTAAAGACTGAAAGAGAGCTGGCATAACTCTCGGCTTGGTCACTGCTGAGAGAGTGGGGACGGGCAGGTGAGCGGAGAGAGCACGCAGAGGAGTAGGATAGGAGGCGATCAAAGAGATAAGGAGGTGCCAGAGACTGGACGTATTTATAGATGAGGGTGAGGACCTTGAAATCGGTCTGCTGATAGATGAGTATGATGGGTGCTCAGAGTTTGGTGTGCGTGAAGATACAGAGTTTTACGCAGTATTATACGGCATTGTGCTTAAAAAAATGATTAATATTAAAAAATAATAAACTTAAACACAATATAATAAAAGAACAGATTTCAATATAAGAAGCTACATCTATATAGCACCTTTCAAGACAGGAGAATGTCTGAAAGCACTTCATACAGCTGATTGTTAAACCAGTTTTATTCTGATAATTTAGGCTGGTTTTGAAATACTTAATTACCACCTTGATTGTTCTGGGTATTTATTATTCTACACGTATTGGTGTTACACCAACTTGACTACAATAAACTAAAGTACAACAAACATATAGATGGAAAACAAAAATTAATAAAAATATATTTAATTGTCTGATTATTTCGTAACTTTGGATATACTTTTCATACCCAATCCCAGTGGAAAATACACAGTAAATTAGGTTTTAAAGCATAGCTTTCCATGTTGTAGTAGAGCAACTCAATTTCATGTCTGCTTACCCTTAAAAGTAATGAACCAACAAGCAATGTTTAAGAGACTCAATAACATTTAAGGAGTAGTCACATTCCTGGCTCTATGACCCTGACCAGCATTCAATACAATTTAGCAAAGCTCTGCATGTGTTTAGTTCTGCTTTTAGAGATCTTTCTTTCATTGCTTGCCAATGCAATTTTAGAGAGGGAAACATAAATCTGCCTTCCTGATTCTATTATCTTTACAGATGATAGTGATAATTAATTGCTTCCTGGGTTTAAATTGGACTGGATTATTCATTTCTTCAAAGGGAAGAACTATTTTTTGCTGATACGTTTCTTGTAAGCAATCATTGACAAAGCACCTCTATTACTAGTCATCAATATGATGGATTATAACTTCATTTTACGTCTCCTCTCACACCAACAATTTGCAAAACAATCTGGAAAATGTAATAAATCTTGCTGTGCTTTGAAGGAGACTGTCAACGGAGAACACAATTTCATATCAATATAAAATGCAACAGGTGCTAAATTACATTGTGAGATACATTTATATTTTTATTGTCATGCATTACTAAAAATGAACATTAACAGTATATTTACAATGTTTGGTATGTTGGTAAGAAAGAGGAATCAATTCCGGATCATCACCAGAAGAACGAAGATGAGGTTAGAATTTGATTTCGACAGAGGGCTAGTGGAATGTGGACTGCCTTATATAACAACAACATATTGCTTTTATAAAGCATCTTTCATTTTGGAAGAACATCCCAAGATGCTGGACAATCAAGGGTTTGCACCCGAGATAAGGGAAGGGTGGTGATAAACGGGGCAGGGGGAGGGGAAAGATGATAGAAGGTGCAGACAAAAGGCAAGGTCTTGAGATGGACCTTGAAGGAGGTGAGGCAAAGAGATTCTGGGGAGGAGTTCCAGAGAATGGGGACAGAAAGGCTGAAGGCCCGACTGCCAATGGTTGGGCAGGCATGGCAGGAGAAATGAAGCAGGCCAGTGCCTGCCGAGCGGAGGGAGCGAGCAGGTTGGTAAGGCCTTAGAAGGTTGCAGAGTGTTAGAATTTACACTTTTTGTATAATGTTAGAATCATAATAGATGTTGCGAACGGGTTAACTTTTAAGTTAAGTGTGTTGTGGGCAGCTGGACTGAAACTCCCTGCACGTACACGAGATAACGGACTGTCTCAAAGACAGGTTGTTTGTGTGTGTGAGGCACATACACCCCATGAGGTGTTCACGTGAACCCAGCATAATTTCGACCGGGTGATCTAATATCCGCACCATGATTGGATGAATATTGGTATAAGAGTTCCGATAACTTTGTGTACGGGGCCGTCCCGGGTCGCGGAGACAAGGATACGGGAGATGGAGCCGTCCCGGGTTGCGGAGACAAGGATACGGGAGATGGAGCCGTCCCGGGTCGTGGAGACAAGGATACAGAGATGGAAGACTGAGAGCGGAAACACTAAGACTGAGGATAGCAGATGGAAGATTGAAAGCTGTAAGCAAGAAGACTGAAAGCATGAAGAATCAAGCTTGTGTGCTGGAAAGACACAGTGTTGATCTCTTGAACTCGAGATATCTATAGTGGTGTTATTCTGTTATAAGATCTGTTGATTGTACCGGCCTTTAGTCTGACCCATCGGGATATTGGGGAATAACGAACAAATTATAATAAAACAGTCTGATATCTGGTTAGAGGAATTAGCGTTATTTCCTTGCAGATTTGGCTGATTTTATTTTCTAACAAGAGGTAGGGTGGGGCAAGACTGTGGAGGGAGTTAAAAGTGAAGATGGTGTTCCTGAACCCTATCCTCAGGGGTTGGGAAACCAGCAGAGCCAGGCAAGGTTGGGGATAATAGAGCAAGGATGGGGATAGTAGGATAAATGGATGTTATAGAAGCATTCATTTGAAAGGAAACATTTGGAGAAAACTAATATTAAAAGATACAGAGAAAGAACAGGGGGATGAGATGATAACACACATAGCTGAAGTGTTGAACATTAACATGAACACTAAGAGCCTTCTTCGGTACTGTGAACTTCTATTTACTTTAGATGTCAACCTGGTTCAGCTAGTAGCATTTTCACCTCTGAGTCAAAAGCTTGCGGCTCAAACCCTATATTAGGACTTTGAGCCAGCCTGACGCACCAGTTTTCTACTTTTATTCTTAACTCCTAAAGAAGAGGCAACTGATGATCTAAAATAGATTAACTTAAACAGAAAGTAATCAAGTGACACCCAAGTTGTATTCATGGTGAAATGTATTTTCTTGGAAATGTATCCTTCTTGACAGCAAAAGTGTGAGATTTTATACTTTAATCATTTTGTCCCCAAACCATTTGTTTTGAAACTGTTGAGAATTCTTGGAAAAGAGTAGACATTTCAAACTATTTAGGATAGGAGTGGATTAAACACAACATAATTAAAATCTTCATTTACCTGCCCATACTTTGCAGCTAAGTGCAGTGGTGTCCAGTAAGAGTTGTCAGCAACATCTAAGTCAGCTCTGTTCTCCAGCAGGAGGGAGGATACATCCTTATAGCCATTAGCACTTGCCATGTGTAGCTGTGAACAGTAACCAATTGAATAAGTAGAGTATGAAAAAACAGATAGGTATCTAGAGTCTTATCTAAAAGCAGCACATGGTACACAATTACTGTGAGAAGAATACGGAAGATTAGACCACAAAGGACCAGGATAGACTCTTCCTTGGAGAAAACCAAAGCTTATTTTCTAATTGCTTAAAGCTCTGCATTATCATGAATACCCAGTGAGAAACTGTAAGATGCTGGAGGCATTCTTTCTGGGCATGTTTAGTGAATCAGAAGTTTTCAAAGCTGTCACTAAATTCATTCGAAGGATCAGCAATGCCTTCATCTGAAATGCTTTCAAAAGCACTCGCTCAATAGAATGACTGACACAGGCTTTTCCTTTCTGATTATTCTTTTCAGGCGCAACAGGGATTTACCTCTGTGTCAGATGGTTAACTTGAAATAACTGGTTGAAGACATCTTGGGTGTTAAAACACCCCATTTATAATTAAGTAATAAAACAAAGTGTAAATGTAGGCTACTTTGAAATGCACGCTAAGGTGATTCTCTACTATAAAGGAAATATGCTATCCTTGGTAGTACATGATGAAATGTTCCCTGTATAATTTCATATTTCCAAGGTAGCTAAATGACCCCCTTTATTCACTGAACAGTCCTGAAGAAGATAAAATTCTGCAGTTGGACCTATGTAAATGTTTAATTTAGGAGATAAATGTTCTCTAAACTTGAAGAATATTTATTTTATTCAAACAGGTGAACGACACACAGAGAAACCATCATGATGCTTTAGAGTCTCCAAACCAAACTACAACATGTTTGCATGTTTATTCTCATTTCTGGGATGGAATCTCTGTTCGAGGCATAAAACCTGCTCATCTAATCCTGGAAATTATTAGATGCAGGTTAGCAAGAGCTAAGGCTTGGGGACTCCAAGAGTGTGCATTGGGGTATTGCTGGAGTTAAACCAGCTTAAGTCCCAGATGAGAGCAAATTTCCTACAGTTGAATGTGAACAAGACTGAGGCCCTCCCTCCTGATTGGCTCGTGCCAGCGCCTCTGCACCTCAGGCTCTGGCAGCATCAACACTTCAACTCACCAAACCAGTCAGGAACCTAAGTGTCTTGTTTGACCCTCAACTGTCTTTTCTTCCCCACATCCAAGCCATGACCCGCTCTGTCTTCCCTCACCTCCGTAACATCGCCCGACTCCTCCCCTACCTCACCCCTCAGGCCGCTGAAACTCTTGTCATGCCTTCATCACCTCCAGGCTCGACTATGCAAACATCCTGATTGTCAGCCTTCCCAACTCCTCCCTCCACAGGCTGCAGATAATCCAGAACTCTGCAGCCCGTATCCTTTCCCACACCAAACTCCATGACCCCATCTCCCCCACTCTCGCCTGACTCCATTGGCTCCCCATCCTTTAGAGGATCCAGTTCAAGATCCTGGTCCTCACCTACAAAGCTCTCCATGGCCTCTCCCCACCCTACCTCTGCGACTCCTACCCTCCTATTAATCCGCTTGCTCCATCTGCTAATCCGGCTCTGGCCTGTTCCACATCCCCCAACCCACCCGCCCCACCATTGGTGGGAGAGCCTTCAACCACTCTGCCCCCAACCTCTGGAACTCCATTCCCCAATCATTCCGCCTCAACCCCTCCTTAGCCTCCTTCAAGTCCTGCCTCAAAACCCTCCTCTTCCACCATGCTATCGGTCACTCCCCTTCCCCTCCCTTCCCTTCTCCCTCCCTGATCCCAGCTTGGGTCTAAAATGCTGTACACTGTCCAGCGCCTTGGGATGTTCTCTCGACGTGAAAAACTCTATACAAATGTAATCTTGTTGTTGTTGCCCAAGTGATCATTAGCATGATTCACTGAGAGTGATCAAGTACAGCAACACTGTTGCAATTATTGTTAACACAAGAAAAGTGTGTGCTAAATGGAGAATTGGTGCCACATGTAATACGTAATAATAATCTTTACCATTTGATACGTGTCTTTCACATCAGAAGGACATCTCAAAGTTCTTCACGGATATAACGTAAAATGTAGTGACTGTATATGTTTTTGTGGGTGATCGTTTCGTACAAGGAAATGAATGGTTTAGCTGCAATAGTGGAATCTCATGATTCATTTGGTAACCTTGGAAGTAAAATTGTTCATTTAACACCCCTCGTAATATGAAAGATGATATTTATTTGGCTAAATCTGGTATTATTTTCTTTACATTTATAAATCACATTAACAAAAGTGACTTTTGAAACTTTGAACATACCATTTAAAAGGTAATTGGATAAACATTTGAAGAGGAACAGTTTAAACGGCTGCAGAGATTAAAATACTAAACTCCAATGGAGAAGGTGGCTTCGGCATCAGTTTGATGGGCCAATAGGTCTCCTTCTGTGCTGCAATTTAGACAAATTTATGTAATTCAGCAATGAGCAACTGGCCAGTAAACTTGACTGCACTCCTGTTGATCTTGCAGATGTTGAACAAGGAAATGCAACACAATTTCCTGTTACAATAGAAAGGTCTCTAATCTGATTATTGTAATTGTACAAACATATTTTAAATCACCATAAAACCATATAGAAGCTTAATATATAAACAGCAACAACAACAAGATTAGATTTTTTGAGCGCCTTTCACGTCGGGAGGACATCCCAAGGCGCTGTACAGTTGGGTCAGGACCCGAGCAGGGGGGAAATGGTCAGGGTGAGGGGAGGGAAGGGAGGGAGCGAGGAGGGGGTAGAGAGTCGAGAGGGGAGCTGAAGGCACGGTCAAAGAGAAAGGTCTTGAGACCGGCCTTGAAGGAGGAAAGAGAGGAAGCAAGGCGAAGGCACTGGGGGATGGAGTTCCAGAGCCTGGGGGCTGAGAGGCTGAAGGCCCGACCACCGATGGTAGGGCGGTTGGGGCGGGGGATGTGGAGCAGACCGGAGCCAGAGGAACGGAGGGTACGGGCAGGTAGGTAGGGGGATAGTAGGTCAGAGAGGTAGGAGGGAGCGAGGCCGTGAATGGCCTTGTAGGTGAGGATGAGGATCTTGAATTCGATCCTCTGGGAAGCCAGTGGAGGCGAGCGAGGGTGGGAGTGATGTGGTCCCGAAGCCTGGTGCGGGACAGTACGCGAGCTGCAGAGTTCTGAATGACCTGCAGCTTGTGGAGGGAGGTGCCGGGAAGGCCGGCGAGGAGAGAGTTCCCACAGTCCAGCCTTGAGGTGATAAAGGCGTGGACCAGAGTTTCAGCAGCGTGAGGGGTGAGGTAGTGCCGTAGTCTGGCGACATTCCGGAGGTGATGGAAGGCGGTGCCAGTTGTGGCGCGGATATGAGGGAGAAAGGACAGCTCAGGGTCGAACAGAACCCCGAGGTTCGTGACTGGCTTTAAGAGGTGGAGAGTGCAGCCTTGGATGCTGATGCTGTCAGCGCCTGAGGTGCGGAGGCGCTGACGCGAGCCAATCAGGAGGGCCTCAGTTTTGCGCACGTTGAGCTGAAGAAAGTTGCTCTCGTCCAGGACTCGATGTCAGACAGGCAGCTGTCAGGACATCGGTGGTCGTGGAGTTGAGGTTAGAGGAGGAAAGGTAGAGTTGGGTGTCATCCGCATACATGTGGAAGTTAACCCCATGTCTGCGGATGATGTCACCAAGGGGGAGCATATAGAGGGTGAAGAGGAGGGGACCGAGGACAGAGCCTTGAGGGACACCGCACGAGACAGTGCGGGGGCTGGAGGAAAAGCCATTCGTGGAGACAAAGTGAAGACGGTGGGAGAGTTACGACCTAAACCACTCAAGGACAGGGCCTTGAAGGTTGAGGTGAGAGGACAAGCGGTGGAGTAGGATAGCGTGGTCGACCGTATCGAATGCTGCCGATAGGTCGAGGATGACGAGGAGGCAGAGGGAGCCCTGGTCACAGATGGTCAGGATGTCATTGGTGACCTTGACCAGGGCAGTTTCTGTGCTATGGGCAGCACGGAAACCCGACTGAAGGGGTTCGAATAATGAATCGTTGGAGAGGAAAGAGCGCAGCTGGGAGGTGACAACTCGTTCCAGGACCTTGGACAGGAAGGGGAGGTTGGAGATGGGCCGGTAGCTTGATAGCTGCGACGCATCAAGGGAGGGTTTTTTCAAGGTGGGAGTGATGGTGGCAGTTTTTAAGGGAATGGGGAGGGACAGGTTGACGATGTCTGTGATATGTGGGGCAAAGAGGTGGAGCTGGCAGATATGGAGTGGAGTGGGGATGGGGTCAAGGGAGCAGGTGGTGGGTTTCAGGAATAGGATGAGTTTGGTGACAGAGGGTGGGGAAACGGGTACAAAAGTGGGTAGGAGTCGGAGTGTGGGAGGGTTAGGGTGGATGTTGGAGGGGAAGTGACCGCGGAGCGAATTCCCTTGATTTTGGATTCAAGGAAATCCAGCATCTCCTCGCAGTGAAGGTTGGAGGAGATGACCTGCGTGGGGTGGCGGGGGGGGACGGAGGAGTCGGGATGTGGTAGAAAACAGTAGCCTGGGGTTGCCCTTCGCCTCCAGGATTATCCTGGAGTAGAAGGATGATTTGGCCGAGGCTAGAGTGGAGCGGTAGATTTTGAGGAGGTCCAGCCAGATTTGTCGGTGGACCGTTAGGCCAGATTTGACCCAGGTGCATTCAGCGGCCCGCACCTAGTTCTTCAGTGAGCGGAGGTGGGTGGTGAACCAGGGGGAGGAGCGAGAGTAGGAGACAGTACGGTAGGTGATGGAGGCAAGAGTGTCAGTGATTTTTAATAGGATTGTTTTGTAATTTTAGTTCAATAACTCTATTTCGTGCCTTAGGACGTCCTCCTGACATGAAAGGCGCTTTACAAATGTAATTTTGTTGTTGTGGTGGAGATATTTTGGGAAATCTTTACGGTAATTCCACTTTATTCAACTTGTGCTCTGTATTAGGTCAGATCAGATCTGAGATTATTGAACTAAATCTCATCCACAGCCACCTAGAGGTTCCTCTTTATCCCGGTTCACACAAATAAAATGTTTAGCTGTACGGTCGTGGAACCTCATGCTTTATTGAGTAACCTTGGCAGTAAATTTGTTTATTTTACACACCTTTTAATACAAATGTGGCAGTGTACAAATAGTTACAATGCTTGGCTGTACTTCAAGATAAGATATGTTTGAGACTTAGCATATCCTCAGCAAGATTGTGAGACCACTGAACAAAATGGTTAGACTCATTGCCAATGTATGAGGTTCAGTGTAACTAAAGCCAGCTGATTTTTTTCCCCAGGGCACTAGAGACATCAGAAGTGAACTGTGAAATCCAGAAGCTTATTTGGATAACAAAGTATCAACCAAGAAGTACTTCAATAGCTCTATATTTATAGCAGTGCGCCAGATGAAAATTCTAAAAGATCAGCTAAGACTGGGGTCATTAACCAAGTAGGAGCACTTGAAGATATCATCTTACCAGTGTGACTCCTTCATCATTCTTCTGATTGATGTTTCCACCGGCTGCCAGGAGATTCTTAACATCTGCCAACATTTTTGAAGGACGCTGTGTTTTCATGTGCCGCAAGGAGTTCACATCAACACCTGCATGTTACAGTTTTGGAATTAAACATGGATTGGTGCCATGAATTGCATTGAAATTGTACACAAGTAAACCAAGCTTATGGAGTCCTGTAGCTCAGTGGTTAGAGCACTCGCTTTGGAAGCGAGAGACCTGGGTTCGATTCCCGGCAGGGTGAAACCTTGGGCAAGTTTCCTAACTCCACACGCTTGATAATAATCCCTCAAGAAAAAAAAATAATAAATTGGTCATTTCAATCCACGACTGTTTGTGGGACAGTGCTGTGCACAATTGGCTTCCGCATTTCACCCACAAATATACAGTCAATTCACTTTAAAGTCTATTCTGTGAACTGTTTAGAGACGTCTAGAAGACTTGAAAAGCGCTATATCAAATGCAAGGATTATGATTATTATAAGCTCAGTTTATAACTAGAATTGCCCAGTGCACAAACGAGCAGGTTTCAAGATGAATATGGTCGCATGGAAGTGTATTAAAGTCAGGTTTTTCATGAAATCCTTCATGAAATAATATTTTCTCAGGAGAACCGTTTTTAAGCTACAAAAAATTGAAGGATCTGAGATTTGGTCATCAGTCTGTTGTGAGTTTGCTGATCTTAGATGGGGCAGCAGTGGAGTAGGTATACTTAACTTCAGTCTCAGGGAAAGATAATGCAAGGTTCTCCCACTTCAACAACAACAACAACAAGATTCCATTTATAAAGCGCCTTGCATTATAAGCATTATAAGCATTATCACTTCTTCGTGACGTCTCAAAGTGCTTCACAGAATATACCGTAAAGTGAATTGGCTATGTAAATTGTGGGAGAAACTCGGCAGTCAATTGTGCACAACAGTGTCTCACAAACAGTCATGGATTGAGTGACCAAATGATTTTTTTTNCTTGAAGGGATTATTACTCCCCAGAAAAGTGATCTGCCAATCAACTTCCTACTTACTGCTAGGTAAACAGAGGAATGTGGAATAAAGAATAGAACCCATATCCGTTCTGTGGCATTCAAGCTACTGTGTCAATTTGTTGGTCATAGAAAGACATGAAACAACCACACTCACTATCCTTGTGATATATCACATCCTCTTCCACTCCAACGATAATGAGGAAAAGACACAAGACAATAGGTGCACTTTACACCCAATATACTGAAAAATTCTACACTAATGTATGAGAATGAAATATTAATCTAAATGTCAAAAGTACACATGATGGAAAACTATTGAGAAAACTCTTGTGACACACTGAAACATAACCAGGAGAAGAGGCAATGCTTAGGGATGTCCCTCTGCACTGCTGTTTATGGGTCAGTGAAAAAAAGGCTTAAAGACAGATGTGTTGCTGTCAGATGATTTGGTTTGAACTGGTCATGGTTTCATGAACTCTATCTCCAGCAGCAGCAGGCGCCTTTCACGTTGGGAGGACGTCCCAAAGCACTGAACAGTCAGGGCTTGAGCATGGGGGAGGGGATGGGGTAGGCGTGAGGGAAGGCAGAGATGGTAGGGTGAGTTGGGTGGGAGACATGGAGCAGACTGGAGCCCACTGAACAGAGGGAGCAGGCAGGTTGGTAGGGAGTCAGCAGGTCAGAGAGGTAGGAGGGGGCAAGGCCATGGATGGACTTGAAAGTGAGGTTGTGGATCTTGAATTCTATCCTCTGGGGGATGGGGAGCAAGTGGAATCGGGGGAGGGTGGGAGAGATGGAGTCACGGAGCCTGGTGCGGGAGAGTACACAAGCTACAGAGTTTTGGATGATCTGCAGTTTGTGAAGGGAAGAGTTGGGAAGGCTGATGAGGAGGGAATTTCTATAATTGAGCCTTGATGTGACGAATGAGTGGGTTTCGGCAGCCTGAGGGGTGAGGCAGTGGTGCAGTCTGGCAATGTTGTGGAGGTTGTGGTAGGCAGTGCCGGTCATGGTGCGGATGTAGGGGAGAAAGGACAGTTCAGGCTCAAACAAGATACCCAGGTTCCTGACTGGCTTAGTGAGGTTGAGTGTGTAGCCGTGGAGGCTGATGCTATCAGCGCCTGAGGTGCGGAGGCGCTGGTGCAAGCCAATCAGGAGGGCCTCGGTCTTGCTGACGTTGAGTTGGGGGAAAGCTGTCCCTTGTCCAGGACTTGATGTCAGACAGGCAGTCGGTCAGGACGCCAGTAGTCCTGGAGTTCAGGATGGAGGCAGAGATGTAGAGTTGGATGTCATCCACATACATGTGGAAATTTACCCCATGTCTGCGGATGATGCCACCAAGGAGGAGCATGTAGAGGGTGAAGAGGAGGGGTCCGAGGACAGAGCCCTGAGGAACACCGCATGAGATGGTGCGGGGTGCCGGAGGAGAAGCCGTTTGCCATGATAAAGTAGAGGCAGTGTGAAAGTTAGGACCTGAACCAGTCAAGGACAGAACCTTGAAGGTTGAGGTGGGAGGAGAAGAGGTGAAGGAGGATTGAGTGGTCCACGATGTCAAAGGCAGTGGAGAGGTCGAGGAGGATGAGGAGACAGAGGGAGCCCTGGTCACACATGGTCAGGATGTCTTTTGTGACCTTGACCAGAGCAGTTTCCGTGCTGTGGGCAGCAAGGAAACCCGATTAGAGGGGCTCATGGAGGGAGTGGGAGGAGAGGAAAGAATAAAGCTGAGAGGCAACGACTCTCTCAAGGACCTTGGATAGGAAAGGGAGATTTGAGATGGGCCGGGAGCTGAATAGCTGTGATGGGTCAAGGGAAGGTTTCTTCAAGGTAGGGGTAATAATGGCTGTTTTGAGGGGGGAAGGAACAGTACCAGATGACAGGGAGAGATTAATGATGTTGGTGAGTATGGAGTAAGGAGGCGGAGCTGGGATTTAAGGAAAGGGGTGGGGATGGGATCCAGGGAGCAGGTGGTGGGCTTCATGGAGGTTACTGTGGTGAAGATAGAAGAGAGGGTGACAGGATCAAAAGTTTGGAAGGAGGGATGGGTAATTGTCAGATGGGTAATTGTGTGGGGTGGGGTAGGGAGGGAGTGGAAGTTGGGAGGGCAGTGGCAGCTTAGTGGATTCCCTCGATTTTGGACTTGAGGAAGTCCAGCATTTTCTCGCAGTGAGAGTCAGAGGAAAGTATCGGCGAGGTGTGTCAGGGAGGGTCGAGGAGCCGGTTAGTGGTGGAGAACAGGAGTCTGGGGTTGCCCTTCATCTCCAGGGTTAACCTGGAATAGAACGATGACTTGGCTGAGGCGAGAGTGGAGCCGTAGGTCTTGATGTGGTCCAGCCAGATGTGCTGGTGGACCGTTAGACCGGATTTGAGCCAAGTGCATTCGACAGCCCACACCTGGACCTTGAGCGAGCGGAGGTGGCTGGTGAACCAGGGTGAGGATCGGGAATAGGAGGCAGTTCGGGAGGTGAGGGGGCAAGGGCGTCGAGTGTGGTGGAGGGTGCTATGGAAAAGAGTAAGTGCAGTGAGTGGGTTGGTGCGAGAGGTTGGCCAGAGGGAGAGAATGGATTGTGAGGAGATCTTCTTTCACAGGTGGTAGAAAATGGTGGTAGGTTTGGAGGCAGTGGGATATGGGAGTTGAGGGAAATGAAATGGTGGTCAGAGATGGCCTTGTCAGTGATGGTGACATCCGAGACGCTGAGGCCCTGGGTGATCACCAGGTCGAGCGGGTGACTGTGGGTAGCAGAGTGGATGTGGAGGGAGAGGTTGAGAGAGGAGAGGAGAGAGGAGAAGTCTGAGGTGGTGGAGCAGGTGGGGGTGAAGTGGAGGTTGAAGTCGCGAAGGATGATGAGGCGGTCGGAGCAGAGGCAAAGGGAAGCAAGGAGGGTGGAGATAATAATAATAATAATAATAATCCTTGCATTTGATATAGCGCTTTTCACGTCGGGAGGACGTCCCAAAGCGCTTCACAGAACATACTGCAAAGTTAATTGACTGTATATTTGTGGGCGAACGCGGCAGCCAATTGCGCACAGCAATGTCCCACAAACAGTCGTAGATTGAAAATGACCAATTAATTATTGTTTTTGGTTTTTGAAGAGATGTCAGAGATGAAGGTGGGGGAGGATTTTAGGGGGTGGTAAAGTAAGAGAATTTCTAGAGAGAGGTGGAAGGGATGGCAGAGGGTAAGGTGTTCACCCAAGTCAACCAAGTTTACTGTAGTTTTCTTCTCAGGAGGAAACTTGCCTCCACCACCCACCCCCGGTAAATTCTGCATCAACTGGTATAACAATATTCTGTGCTAAAACAGTTAGATAGATACTAACACTTTTAGTTTCAGAATTATCAACAGCAAAATGGATACCTTGATCTTATTTTCTGCTCACAACATTAGAAAGCAAGAGTGCAGAGGACAGTGACAAGGCTGATCTCTATTGTTACAGATAAGCTATAAGCAAAGAATAGATAAGATGGGGGTCTTATGTCTTGAAAAGAGAAGTTTCAGGAGAGACTGTTTAGAGATATCTCTGATACTAAGTGGGATTGGGAACGATATTTACAGATATACCCAGCTCAGAGCATACAGCATAGATTCATGAGGATGATACCAGAGATGAAAGCCTATAGCTAGGAGAGACAAAGTGGATTAGAACTCTTCCAGTGTTAATTTGTTAGAGATGTTCAAGATGAAAGGATCAATAATGAGGAACTATTTCTGTTGCTATGTGATGATTTGAATAACTAGGAAGGAGGAAGTCAGGAAATATTTATTCACTCAGAGGGTGTACAGAATATGGAATGAATTGCACGGGATGGCTGTTGAAGCAATCTTATATGGAGTATTTAAAAGAGAATTAGATAGGCACATGCTGAGGAAGGATTAATTAGAGATTTTGAATTGCTGGTAATAATTTAACACAACTTGTGCTACCGATGCTTCCACGTGCTGGAGCTACAACTTACCTTTGACTATTACTGAATGTATTCTTGAATTTTTTTCATAGAAAGTACTGATTCGTTATGAGAAACAACAATAAGTTGCATTTATAGAGCGCCCTTTACACTGCAAGGTGTCTTGGAGCGAGAAAGAACAAGGAGTTGGGATTAGAGTTGGATTAACTGCGGGTGCAAACACCGACACTGATAAAATGAGTTGAATGTCCTCTTACTGAGTCATAAATTTCAATGGTTCATAGCAAAAGCAAGTTCCCACCACAATCTGCAGTTAACTTGAAATGTACACACAGCTTCAGGCTGGAAAACTGCAAAGTTATCTGTTCTCATAGGGAGTATCATAGAATCATAGAATTATACAGCACAGAAGGAGGCCGTTCAGCCCATCGTGTCTGTGCCAGCTCTTTGAAAAGTGCTATCCAATTCAATCCGACTGCCCCTTCTTTCTCCATAGCCCTTCAAACTTGTCCTCCCCAAATAATTGTCTACTTCTCTCTTAAAAGTTGTCATCAAATCGGCTTCCACCACCCTTTCAGGCAATGCATTCCAGATCCGAACAACTCGCTGTGTGAAAACATTCCTCCTCACCTCCCCTCTGTTTCTTTTAACAACTATTTTAAATCGGTGTCCTCAGGTTACCGACACACCCGCCAGTGGAAATAATTTCTCCTTGTTTACCCTATCAAATCCCCTCATAATTTTGAAAACTTCTATCAAGTCTCCTCTTAACCTTCTCTGCTCCAAGAATAATAATCCCAGTTTCTCTCGCCTCTCCTGATAACTGAAGTCCCTCATTCCTGGTACCATGCTGGTAAATCTCTTTTGCACCCTCTCCAATGCCTTGACAAACTTCCTAAAGTGTGCTGCCCAGAACTGAACACAGTACTCTAACTGAGGCCTAACCAGTGTTTTATAAAGGTTCATCATAATAGTAGAAATATCACACTGCAGTTTTGAAGTCTGCAGTGAGGCACACGGTGGGGGAGAGAAGAGGCTTTTTTGTTCTGTGTGTCTCTATTATATAGCAGACCCACTGAGAGATACATAGAACATTAAAACACGCAAACAGGTCATTTGGTCCAACTAGTTTTTGCCACTGTTTACACTCTACGAGTCTCCACCGATCCTAACCCACCGCTCTTTCCTAGCTTTCCATGTTGGTACCTAAACAACTAGCCGATCTTTCACACACTAATCAACCTGCTGGCTATTACCTGTATTTTCTGCTTCCATTGAATAGTTCTATGGTTGATTGTCAAATAATAAATCAACAACAACAACAAAATTACATTTATAAAGCGCCTTTCACGTTGGGAGGACGTCTCAAAGCGCTGGACAGTCAGAGGTCAGGTGTCGGGGGCCGAACATGGGGGAGGGGTGGTGTAGGGGTGAGGGAAGGCAGAGAGGTGGGAGGGAGACCAAAGGCACGGTCGAAGAGAAGGGTCTTGAGACCGGCCTTGAAGGAGGCAAGGGAGGAAGCGAGGCAAAGGGACTGTGGGATGGAGTTCCAGAGTGTGGGGGCAGAGAGGCTGAAAGTCCGGCCACCGATGGTAGGTTAGGTTGGGCGGGAGACATGCAGCAAACCAGAGCCCGCTGATCGGAGGGTGCGGGCAGGTTGGTAGGAAGTCAGCAGGTCAGAGAGGTAGGATGACATGGATGGCCTCGAAAGTGAGGACAAGGATCTTGAATTCAATCCTCTGAGGGATGGGGAGCCAGTTGAATCGGGTGAGGGTGGGAGTGATGTGGTCACGGAGCCTGGTGCGTGAGAGTACACGAACTGCCGAGTTTTGGATGATCTGCAGCTTGTGAAGGGAAGAGTTGGGAAGGCCAATGAGGAGGGAGTTCCCGTAATGGAGCCTTGATGTGACGAATGCGTGAGTGAGGGTTTCGGCAGCCTGAGGGGAGAGGCAGTGGTGGAGTCTGGCAATGTTGCAGAGGTGGTGTCAACAGGGTAGCTCCAGAGCATTTGAGTTTCATTTGAGCATTCAAGCTTCCTGTATAATTTCTCTTTAAAAACCTTTTTGTGAAATCTGAGCAATTTATTCTGTTTCTGCATGAAATAAAACATTCCAGGAGAAAGTCCTATAAAACCAAGTGTATCTGCTGCAACTCCACTAAATAGAAATTTAAAGATTAATGTCTCAAAGTTGCCAAGTAGTTATGCTATTCTGAAAGATTCAAGTAGCAGTCTATGTGCTTGTAACCCCCAAATAGAATAAGAGAGAGGCCATTCAAGCCCATTGAGCTTATTTGTTATTTTGTTTATTATTATTATTATTAATTTGTTTGATCGTGCAAATCTTTAAATTTGCATCTTTTGCAAATTCTTTTTCCCACACACTCCTAAGTTCCTTGTCAAGTATCTACAATAGAACTCCTGTTCTAACACATTCAGTTTTTACTTGGGTTCAGTTATTGTTCAGTTGAGCGGGGGAGTGGACCATTTAAGTAGGAAAACACTGAATGTGTTTGCAAAATACTTACTTGTCTGTTCACTTCAAAATACCAGCTGCCTTTAGGTGCTATAAGAACCTCTGGGTCATAGGATCAGCACCACCAACATTACTTCCTAAGCACAGTTCATGCAATATTTATGCATCCCAACTAAAGGACTCCACTAATATCCAACTATTTCCTTTTCAAACATCTCAATTCACGCTGCCTCATGTGGCTGTGCATTCCATATTTTCACAACTCCTGTGTGCAGAAATGTTTTCTGATTTCACCTCTAATCATCTTAGTTCTAATTTTAAGGTCATGTCTTGTTTTGGATCTTCTGCCAGAGGGAAGAGTCATTTACAATCTAAATCGTCAGTGGCTTTCATTATTTTAACATAGTCGTGAGTGGATAATGCTCTTTAAATTGTAGGAGTTGAAACAGATCGTAGATAATAAGTAAGTATGCTTTCTCTGTCAAATTACTGCTTTTACATTTAGTAATGTGATTTTTGTATTAAACTTAAAGGCTAAAATGTTTTTCTCCCACAGGAAACAATAACAGTAAATGCTAAAAATAATACATTGTAATTTAAACAAATTATATGCTTTGAAGTGTTCAAGGCTGTTATTCATCTCAGATTATTTCAGCATGGGGTTACTATTCTGTGTTACAACGATGACAATATAATCACCTGCAATTACATGAACTGGTAATACGCAGCAACTTGTTTTCACAGAGCAAAGCACGCATTAGGTGAAGCAATGGCAAGGACACTGTCAGTGACTGCATTCCTTTGGCTAATGTAACTCTCAGCTTTGAGAGAAATTATGCCATTTGCGGAGGGATCACCACAAAATGAAACTCATGAACGAATGCATCTGCAAGTGTTCTACAATTGTGTATACTATGTAGATACGACCATTCAATCAGAGACTAACTGAGGGCAACTAAAATAACACATCCCCTCCTGGGCACACAGTATTCTGTACAACATCAACCCACGCTCCCTGAGGGACCAATCACTGCTAATGACCTTATGTTTGTCACAATAGACCTGTCACAGTGCTCCTCGAATAGACATCAATTCAAACAAAAGCCAATGAAGTTAATGTGCAGACAGATGTTTAATGCTTGCAATTACACCCATCACATTTGTTTTTCTCTGCGACAGAACAATGATATTTCCTACCACCCTTGTTCACTGTGTGAGTTTTGAGTCCAAGCTATAATAGACTCAGAGTATTAATAGCTGCAGAACAGGTACCATATAGAGCAAGAGTTCAAATCAACAAGGCAGTTAAAATATCAGCAGTCTGCACTTAGCATTTTATATTGTCTTCACAGCCTATTATTTTACTTTTGAGACATTTGGCTTATGTGATACCCTAACAATATCTCTTCTAAACTCATCAATTCATACCTGATAACTGGTAATAATTGTTGTATTTGATCTAGCACCTTATCACATCTTCGAGATGTCTCAAAGCGCTTCACAGAATATACTGCAAAGTGAGTGGAGTGACTGTATATTTTGTGGGCGAAATTCACCTTTCCATAGTTTTATTCTCCTTCCTCAAAATTACTACTATTGTGTTATGGATCTATCAAATCACTTTCTTGAAAAACATTCTCCAGCAATCTGCAAGTCTTTTATTCTCAAGACCTGAAAGAACCCTTTATTTTAGTGTTTTGTTCATTCTGCACTTTTGACCGAGGTTCATAAGAGGGTCTAATTTGCAATACTGTAATTATTCTAAATAAGAAATGTGTAACTCTCAAAGTTCTAAAGCGCTGAACGTGCTTCAAGACATTCCTTTTTTTTTACAAAGTAGTTAATTTTCCTTCAATTTATTCTCTATTTTACAAGGGATGATTAATGTGATATTTTATAACAGATTTTAAAATTATTGAATGTGATTGTGTTTTCTATCTTCTCCTGAAGTCTGCATACAAAAACCCCTTCCCCCGATTGCTCCAGCACAATGGTTATTGAATCAGTTATGAAACATCAAATTTAGGAAGATAGATTCAGGGAGCTCGGTGTAGGAAAGGACAGGGTTACAGAATTCTAGATAGTCTGCAACTCGCTTGTGTAGGGAAGGGTTGGGTCATCCGACGAGCAGTGTTGGCACGGACGTGATAAATGCATGCGTTAGGATCCAGCAAGTTGATACATGACATATCAAGATACCTGCAGGTTTTGCTAGCTTCAAGCATTTTTGTGACTCTCATAAATCAAGCCCCATACTGCTTCTTAATCTTATTCAAGAGCCATTTCCTTTATTATATCTTTAATAAAGTTTAAAGGTACAAATCAATTGTTTGTTGTTTTCTGGCCATTATTTGGAGTGATGTAGGGTTACTATTTACATTATTTGCAACGTAGGGTGGGGGATTAAACCAAGCTTCCCTCTCTCCATTACTATACTGCTGGAACAAAGAAGCTCTGCAGTGTAAATGTAACATTTAATCCACAAAGGGAACTGAAGATTTCAATACAGATAAAGACCATTGGGAAAATAATAATGCTCAAGTTAATGTACCATTATCTTCCAGATGTTGGAGAAGTATAGAGCTTGATTCTGTGCCCTCCATTGTATAATCCAGTGCGATATGCCCATTTATATTCTGCAGCAGCACATTGGCTCCAGCCTAAAGACAGGAAAATAAACAAATATGTTAATCTTCTTCAGTTCTGAATCATGAAATAAGAATAAAGTTACTGATGCAGAAATTGCTGAAACATTTAATTGAATTGGAAAGACATGCATCTCCCTGTTATTTCTATGTTGTTTTTGTCAACCTTTTTCCTATAGGCCTATATTGTGTAATTTTATTTACTTTTCTATTTGATTGGCTCGCTCCAACACCTCAGGCACTGGTGGCATCAGCATCCATGGTTGCACACTCCACTTCACGAAGCCAGTTAGGAACCTGGGTGTCTTGTTCGATCCTCAACTATCCTTTCTCCCCCATATCCATGCCATGACACCCCTCGACATAACCCCACCTCCGCAACATTGCCCAACTCCATCATTGCCTCACCACTCAGGGTGAAACCCTCATACACGCATTTGTCACCTCAAGACTCGACTACGGAAACTCCCTCCTTATCAGCCTCCCCAACTCTTCCCTCCACAAGCTGCAAATCATCCAGAACTCTGCAGCTCGTGTCCTCTCCTATACCAGGCTCCATGACCCTATTACCCCAACCCTTGCCCGGCTCCACTGGCTCTCTATCCCTCAGAGGATAGAATTCAAAATCCTCATCCTCACTTTCAAGCCCCTTCATGGTCTTGCCCCCTCCTATATCTCTGACCTGTTGACCTCTATCAACCTGTCCGCTGCCTCCGCTCAGCAGGCTCCGACCTGCTCCAGGTCTCCCGCCCGACCCGCGCTACCATTGGCTTTTATCCTCACTGGCCCCACTCTTTGGAACTCCATCCCACAAATCCCTTTGCCTTGCTCCCTCTCTTGTCTCCTTCAGGGCACAACTCAAGTCCCTCCTTTTTGACAGTGCCTTTAGCCACCCTCCTAACCCCTCTGCCCTTCCTCATCCCAACCCCGCCCCCCGCGCTTGAGTCCTAATCCCTGATTGTTCAGCGAGTTGGGACATGAAAGGCACTGTACAAATGCAATTTTGTGGTTGTTCTAGCAATAGTAGATGTGTTGATTAGCATACTTGGATTATATTTTTGTTCAACGATACCATACATCCTTTCCTTCATAATATTTTATATTTTTGCAAGATTTTATCAGATATTCAATACAAGTTTAGTCAAACATCAAGGCAGAACACCCACACACTGCTTTGACATAAAGGCTTGTGCTCCAGGAGGTGTTGACATTTGTTAAACTGCTATCTTGCCAAGGGAGGGGGGGTGGGGGGGGGGGCGGAAGGTTGGAAGCAAGAAAACGCTTCTTCCCGAGCCCAGTGATTTATTAAAATAAGACAAACAACAGGTTTGGAGCAGCCACCAAACATATTACTATCAGTGTGAAGTGTAACTGATGCTGATATAAGTCCATATGATCAGTTTTATAATGCAGCTTTGCCGCCAGTTCACTGTGACAGAAATACAATGCAGAGAGAGCATGACAACTTGAATATGTACACAGCTGTTGTACAAGAGATGACATGAAAGGACAAGAAAAATATGGTTTAGGAAACTCTTAACACAGAAAGAAATACGTGGGCTTGAGAGAACTAGACTTTACATTAGTTGGTTTGAGCAGTGAATAAGGTTGGAAAATTCTAAAAGCATTGTAGCTTTGTTCAGCACTGTAATCTGTCTATTCTATATTCCACAGCATCTTCCAAAAAATACTATCTTGGAAATTGGGCAAAATTACATTTTACTAAATTGTGAATGGATTAAAGAAATGTTGAATACATTTTTTAAAATATGGTAAGAATTGAGCAGGACTTTGGTAAGATCTGAGTTCTTCCCGCAAGAGTCACAGGAGCTGCATTACAGCCAGATGCTTATTCAAATTCTGAACCTGTAAAGTTGCTGCAGACCGCAATAGAATCACCAGCAAAGGGCCTGACTGGTCACAGCAATGTAGATAAGACGCACAACTCAATGATTCACTGTCACATCACATATCAAGCGAGTTCAGTTGCATGAATGTCAAATGAATGTGAACTGTACAGCCGGAATGTATTCCCAGATGATTCTGCAACAATTGGCCTTGGATTGACTTCAAAGACAAAAAAAGCCTGGCTGTGATTTATTATCAGCAATTACAGTGCAAGCTTGTGTCATCAAAGTGGCCTAAAGCAGAAGCAGGGTCTCAGTGAATGGCATCAAATGCAAAAATTACAGCAAATATGTGCATAAAACAATGATCATATGTGAGACAAATCATACCATCTTCAGAGGAGAATTGTTTTTTGGGGGATGAATTTCACATTAAAAGAATATTAGTGCTGGGAAATTAACACTAGAATCATAGAATCGTACAGCACAAAAAGAGGCTATTCGGCCCATCGAGTCTGTGCCGGCTCTTTGAAAAGAGCAATGTAATGTCAATCCCACTCCCCAGCCCTTTCCCCATAACCCTGCAAACCTGTCCTCCTCAAATACACCGCGTTTTTAAAAGTTGTTATCGAATCGGCCTCCACCACCCTTTCAGGCAATGCATTCCAGATTCGAATAACTCGCTGTGTGAAAAAATTTCTTCTCACCTCCCCTCTGCTTCTTTCAGAAACTATTTTGAATCTGTGACCTTGAGTAACCGACACACCCACCAGTGGAAACAGTTTTTCCCTTTCCAATCTATCAAATCCCCTCATGATTTAGGTCTCCTCATAACCTTCTCTGCTCCAATGAGAATAATCCCAGCCTCTCGAGCCTTTCCTCATAATCAAGGTCCCTCATTCCTGGTACCATCCTTGTAAATCTCCTCTGCACCCTTTCCAATGCCTTAAGATCCTTCCTATAGTGTGGTGCCCAGAACTGAATACAGTATTCTAGCTGAGGCCTAACCAGTGTTTTATATAGGTTAATCATAACCTCCTGACTCTTGTACTCTATGCTCTTATTTATAAAGCCTAATATCCCATATGCCCTTTTTACAGCTTTATCTACCTGTCCTGCCAACTTCAAGGATTCATTTACCTGAACTCCCAGGTCTCTCTGTTCCTTCACCACCCCTTAAGATTGTATTACCAGCCTATATTGCCTCCCCTCATTCTTTCTTCCAAAATGCATTACCTTGCATTTCTCCACTTTGAAATTCATCTGCCATGTGTCTGCCCATTTTACCATTCTGTCTATGTCTTCCTGCAGTTGGCTACTAACCTTTTCACTGTTTACTACCCTATCCAACTTTGTAACTTTGTGTCGTCCGCAAACTTGCAAATGGTACTTGCTTTACCCAAGTCCAGATCATTTATATATATTAAGAAGAGCTGTGGTCCCAATACCGATTCCTGGGGGACGCCACTGTGCACTTCCCTCCAGTCAGAAAAGCAACCACAACTCTCTACTTTCTGTCTCCCAGCCAGTTCTGGATCCATGCTGCCACTGTCCCTTTTATACCATGGGCTTCTATTTTTCTTACAAGTATATCATGTGGCACTTTGTCAAATGCCTTTTGAAAGTCCATAAAAACTATATCAACTGCACTACCTTCATCCACCCTCTCCGTTACCTCATCAAAAAATTATATTAGATTTGTTAGACAAATTTGCCTTTAACAAATCCGTGCTGGCTATCCTTAATTAACTCATATTCTTCTAAGTGAAGATTTATTCTGTCCCAGATTATAGTCTCCAGGAGTTTCCCCACTACTGATGTTAGGCTGACTGGCCTGTAGTTCCCAGGTTGGTCCTTCTGCCCCTTTTTGTACAGGGGAGTAACATTAGCCACTCTCTAGTCCTCTGGCACCACCTCTGTGTCCAATGAAGATTGAAAAATTGTAGCCAAAGCCTCCGCTATTTGTACCCATGCCTCCCATAGTAACCTTGGCTGCAGCCCGTCCGGAGCGGACCACTTATCTACCTTGAACCCAGTCAACATTTTCAGTACTTCCTCTCTGTTTATACTTATCCTATCCATTTCCTCTACCCTCTCCTCTAATACTGCGGCATTTGGTGCATCCACTTCTTTTGTGAAGACAGATGCAGTGTACTCATTCAGTACATCAGCCATGCCCTCTGCCTCCATAATAAGATTTCCGCCTTGGTCCTTAATTGGCCCCACCCTACCTTTGACTAACCTTTTTTTCTTGATATGTTTGTAAAATATTTTAGGATTCCCTTTAATGTTATCCGCTAACCTTTTTCCGTATAATCTTTTTGCCCCTTTTATTTCCTTTTTCAGTTCTCTTCTGTACTTCCTATGTTCTATTTGGTTATCTTCTGTATCTTGGGCTTGACATTTTTTATACACCTCTGTTTTCTGCTTCATTCTGGACACAATTATCTCGTCATCCAGGGAGGTTTGGATGCCCTACTTTTCCCTTTTGTGGGAATGTATTTGTTCTGTCCTATCTCATCCTTGAAGACATCCCACTGCTCTTTAGTTGTTTTACCTGCCAATCTTTCTTTCCAGTCCACCTTGGCTAGGTCCCTTTTTAACTCACTGAAATTAGCCCTCTTCCAGTTGAGTATCTTCATTTTTGATTGTTCCTTGTCCCTTTCCATATGCACTCTGAATCTAATGATGTTGTGATCACTATTGCCCAGATGCTCTCCCACTGAAACCTGCTCCACTTGCCCTACTTCATTCCCTAGAACTAAATTCAGCACTGCTTCCTTCCTCGTTCAGCTGGAAACGTACTGATCAAGAAAATTGTCCTGTATGCATTTTAGGAATCTTTTTTCCCCTCCTTGCCCTTTGCGCTGTTGTTTTGCCAGTCTATTTGGAGATAATTAAAGTCCCCCATTATCACGACTCTATTGGCCTTGCATCTGTCTGAGATCTGCTTGCAGATCTGCTTATCTATTTCCTTCCCACTATTTGGTGGTCTATAGTATACCCCTACCAGTGTAACATCTCCATTTTTGTTCCTTAACTCTAACCAGATAGATTCTGTTTTGGGGCCCTCCAGCACCTCGACCCTTTCCACAGCAATAACCATATCCTTGATTAATATTGCCACTCCCCCTCCTTTTTTTCCTTCCCTATCCCTCCTGAATACAT